ATGTAGTAAATACAAATGGACTAAATAGACGATGCCACGCAGATCAACTTCGTCTGGCTTAACTCTTAGAAGAAGGGGGGACGATGTAGTGTACTGAATCAGCTGATACAATTTAAATGTGTTTTCAATACTTTGTTTACATTGTTTTTTGTTTCAACGGTATCGTTTCGAAAGCATTCTTCTTGTTCCTGTTGCTTATTCTGTTGACTGAACGTGTATTACGGAATTGTGACTGTTGATTGTCAACATTTTCCAATAAAGTAGCGGTGTTTGTGACTTGTTCAAATGTAGTATCTGTCGTAGCATGTAAGCGCAAAAGTTCAAGTTGCCAGCGATCATTGTTGATGCCCAGAACAAACTGATCTCTCAGCCGTTCGTCTAAGTTGTCACTAAAGTCACAGAGACCTGCAATTTCGCGCAAAGCAAATTCGAAATGACTAACAGATTCACCTTCTTGTCTGAAACGGCGACTAAAGATAACCCGCTGTGATAGTGGTGTGGATTTTTGTGTGTAGTATTTCTTAAGTATATCAATAACTCCTGTAAAGTGAAGATTACTGACGGGATCAGGTCGTGCGTGGTCAAATACTAGCTTGAAGGGTTGAGGTCCAAGGTTCCCTAGCAACAAGTCTCGTTTTGTATCCTCATTCTTGATTCCTCTGTTTCGTAATGCAATCTTGAAACGTTCGAGCCAGTAAGTCCATTCTTCAGAATGACCATCAAAAGCATCTATACGTAAATCGTCGGTCCGTTTAGTAGACTGCGCCATTTGTAGTACTGCGTGAGTTAATTATGTAAAGTAACAAGACATTTTCGTAAGAAAAGTTATATTTGAAACACCAAGTAACTATGTTGTTCTGTCAAACGTAAACAAAAAACAATGTAAACAAAGTATTGAAAACACATTTAAATTGTATCAGCTGATTCAGTACACTACAGGATGGATTTTAAAATTATCTTCAGTCAATGGTAAAACAACATTTTTCATTGTTTTAAGTTCCCCATTTATAGCTTTGGACAAAAATTGGACAAAAAACTCAACAGTTTGCTTGTGCTAAGTTAAAATCACTGATTAAAGTTATTTGTTTTACTTCTAATTTTGATTACATAAAGAAAATCAGCATGGGCACCCACATGGGGATGAAAGGGGGTGCGCTTACACCCCCCTGGCTAAAAAAATGAGGAAATTTAATATCTAATATATCTGTCATTTTCATAATGGTTATTACAAAAAAAATATTTCCAATTAAAGTTTAATTCAAATAAATAGTTGAGCCATAGATACCACCATAGATAAAACATATCCCCTTAGTAGATTTCTCATCCTTATGGATCAGTTAAAGACAATTTTATTGTTAATTCTGTCCGGTGCACTGTGTTTTGTTTACAATTTGTTTCTTGTTATCAAAGTCATTTAAAACCTCGATTAACCAAATAAAACGATCTAATAATAAATAATAACTCATTCCCTAGTTATATAACCAAACAGTAAAGCACAAATCATGAAATTAACCCTAAAATAATATAAACAAAATTTTGTTGACACTAGCAATCAGTGTCGCTGGACATGAACTAGATGCGAGACACAAGCTTCAAAATTTACAATGGGATGAGAAGTCTACTTGTATTGGTTAGTCTATGATACCATTGCTTACTTATTACTATTGCAAACTTATTACTTTGACAACACTTTTCAGAATACAAAACATCAACTTTTTCTGCTGTTGCTTATTCAGGGTTTATGTGGGGTAAAAAATGGCTTTTCCTATATTAGACCCAAGAAATATAAAATTTTAATTTAGCAATTTATTTTCAAACCATTTTGTAGAACTTATTTAAAAACAAATAATTTAGTATAACAAAGAGTTATTTGTTATTATCCAACAAATGGTTACAAAAAAAAATCCAAAAAAATGGCAAATTTAAAATTCTCATATTATTCTTATGGAGAATAGGCTAAGTAGGCCTACCTAACAGCAAAATAGTTGCAAACTGTTGTAGTTTGCTTGTTTATAGACATATTTTTTCCATGTTTGGAGGATGCATTTATTTCTTACTAACTAGCCTATTAATAGGCCTACTTTTTCCCCTCCCTGTTGCAGCAAATCTAAGTACTTGTTAAATTAATTTTATTTGATTAGGGAATAAATGTGGTAGGTATTTCAGGCAAATGGAAATTCGCTTAGTCTGCAGGTTTACTGCGGAGGGGGTATTTTATTTATTTGGTCTTTTCTGGTGACTCACAAGTGGGAACCACTGGTCTAGCACATAAAACAACAATAACTTAGTTCAAATATCCAAACAGGCATCAGGTCACTTCACAAAAATGTAAAAAGTGGCTGAATTGTTATTGTTTTGAGAGTACCTATTGTAAGTAAGTTAGTGAGGTGACTTCCCGTGAGCGGTGTGTGGGCTGAGTGGCGTGTGGGTTGAGCCAAGGCCACACTAAAAAAACAAGCGGTAATGCTTGTCAAGCATGACGTCACGATAGAAGACGGCAATGACGTAATTTTGCCGTTTGTGATCAGCTGCTTGTTTTAATCTTTCAGTGGAAAATAAATAAATAAATAGGCCTACTTATACGTCATAGCCGTCTTCTATCGTGACGTCATGCTTGATGAGCATTACGGCCTGTTTTTTTTAGTGTGGCCTTGGTTGAGCGGCGACTCTCAAGTAGACGAGGGTTAAAGGTGATTAGCCGGTTTACAACCCTTTCTGTAAGCGGTGGATTCTTGTGTCACCCTCTTTCTCTACCTTCGCTTGCAAACGTTACCACTGGCACTATTGTGTATTGGTGGTTTTTTTTCTAAAGCATAACTTACCCATTTTCTAAAAACCGCACCGTATTATAGATTCGGACTCTGACACGTACGAACCCGAACCCTCAATGAAATAAGACGAAGAACTAAATAGGTTAGGTTACGTTGGATTAGGATTGATTAAGATTGGGATGGCAACGTGTGCAAGCAAAGGTAGAGAAAGAGGGAGACACAAGAATCCGACGCTCACAGGAATGTTTGTAAACCGGCTAATCACTTCTGTCCCTCGTCACAGAAAACGTACTACTATACCCAGAATGCCAACCGCATGGTAAAAAGCATTCAGCGGCAGATACCTATCTCGATCCAGTTCAATCCGATTTTGTCAGTCATAGAGCCTTCGCCGTACAGTGTTTGCGAGTCGAAAAATCGACACAAAACACTACACAAAGTGTGTTATGTGTCGATTTTACGACACATAACACTCGGAGGGTTAATATGACATTGTAAAAGAGGAATTATTAGACCTAGCCTAAGTTAGGCCTACCTACTTACATCCATGTTGCAGGTTGCACCACCCGCTACTTTGTAGAAAAGAAGGCCCTTGCTTTGATTACTTGAAACGAATGCCTTAGTTATCTTACCCCAATGTTTGACAGTTTTGTGACAGACTCAGTGCAACAGACTTTGCTCAAAGTTTTTTTCCACTTAGGCCTAGGCTACCAACGGTAGCCTATTTTATTACATTGATTCGTTGGTGCTAAGTTAGGCCTATGCCTCTAAAAGTTAATTTTCTTTTTTTGTAATAAGTTAAATGAATGTTTGGAATCTTCAACTAATTATTTGAATATCTTACTTGTTCTATATAATTTCAAAGCTTATAACTTAGGCTTATAAGTTAATTCTGATATGGTTTTTAATGGTATAACTTAAGTTAAATAAGGTAGGCTTTGAAACTTATCTTTGTTAAATATTTGTTTTTAAAGGAAGGTAGGCCTAGGCCTAAAGAGGGTAGTCCTAGGCCTAGAGTAAGCTTGTTTTTAGGGATGGGGATAGAAAAATTGATTGGTTGATTTTATCATTGGGTAGTAACGATTTGAATTAGTGATGTGCGATACGTATCGTATCGTATCGGAATATCGCGATACGCGAGGGACGATACGATATTTTGATACGATATTTAAAAAACGATACGTATCGTATCGCCTAAAACGATATTTGTATTTATATCGGCACATAGAGCGATACGATTCATGTCAAAACGATATTTGTAAGCTTATTTGCGCAGGCCAAGCAAACTGCAAAATCTGTACTCTGTGGATGTGTAGTTTGAAATAGGAGTTTGTGACGTCTATATTTTTGGTTTTTACTTGATAATGTACCAGTCCCATCCCAGTCCAGTCCATTTTCACTAGCGTTCTATCTAGAGTCTACATTTTTGGTTTTTACTTGATAATGTACCAGTCCCATCCCAGTCCAGTCTCCTCCAGTCCATTTTACTAGCGTTCTATCTAGTCTATATTTTTGGTTTTTACTTGATAATGTACCAGTCCCATCCCAGTCCAGTCTCCAGTCCATTTCCACTAGCGTTCTATCTAGCCTAGCAGTGCAGTGCAGAGCAGACTGCAGATTGTGGAAACTGTCAACTGTCTGTGGCAATTACATTTCATTAATTTATCTGCAATCCTAAAATGCTATGGGAAGGAAAGGGAAACAGGTCCAAGACGTAGGGAGTTGTGAAGGAAGTAGTAAAGGCGAGCAGTGTGGAGTAGTGTGGGAATGGATTAATGTATCTGCAATACTAAGACTGTTTTCAGAGTAAACTAATGATTTTCTCCGAGCAAAGCTCGGTCCCCAGGTACTTAAATAAATTTGCTGTTTCTAGGTTAGGTAGGGGAGGGGGGGAAACGATACGATACGTATCGTTTTTCGATATTTTTGACGATACGATTCGCGTATCGCGATACAGACGCCCGATTCAATACGGCGATACGATATTTTTTTCCGATACGTATCGTATCGCTGTATCGCGATACGCGTCCGTATCGCCCATCACTAATTTGAATTAATGAATTGTTTCCACGTTGATTCACATTCATGGTCCACACAAAAATAAGTGTGGAGTTGCAGGAGTCATCCCGTGATTCGACTCATCCAATTTGGATCGGTTAAAAATCGAGATCATAGACATTTTGTAGAATTCAGTTCGAATAATAACGTAAAAACTAAACTTAACCTTACCTTTGAATTGTTGGTGTAAAATGTGTTATGTGCGCTGGTTAAATAATAAAGCCATGCATAACTGTAGAACTTGGTTGACTGCTCAAAGCTCAAATCAATGACGCCATTACCTTGTGGTTGTGAGTTCTGAGCTGTTTGTGTGTGTGTGAGTGAACGGAACGGAACGGAACGTCGGAACGAGGAGGAGAGAATGAACAAAACAAACAGAAACAGAAACAACACTTCTGTCTTAAGGTCGATTCACACATATCAGTCCAGTCACAGTTCCGTTACAGTCCAGTTGCAGTCCAGTTACAGTCCACTAGTCCAGTCACAGTTGCATCCGCAATTTCTCAGTCAATTGTCCGTCAGTTGGTTTCAGTCTGTCTTCCGTCTCTAATATTTACAGTAATTTATAGTCAAAAAATTTAAATTTTAAACCTATATTCTATTAAATTATCATTGTCCATCTTTTTGTTTGTTACAAACCGTACTCAAAATACAAACACAACCATTTAAATAACAATAACACTATTTTCTAACCTCAAACAGTTCCGTCAGGCGTCCGAAGAATCAAAAAGTATCGTTGGAAAGAAATCTGAAATTGACTGACGGATGCCAGCAGAGTGACTGACGGGACTGCAACGGGTGAGTGTAGATAGCGCAATAGAAAATCCATCAAGGAATATTTTTGTTAACTGTGACGTGCCTGAAGTGACTTTACTGTGACTTGCCGTAACTGATGTGTGTGAATCGACCTTTATTGTCTTACAGCCGAACAGTAGAACCATCGGTGGGGCACACGGGAGGGACTAACGCTAACATATCTTGTAGTGTCAGCGTTCGCCGCTAGAACTGCTAAGTTGAAATAATTTAAATTAATTTTTTTTTAGTTATAAAATTAACTTTTTAATTATAAAATATTGTTTTAAAATTATAAAATAAATTTTTAATTTTTAAAATTAAACTGTCATAACATAACCTAACCAACCAGACTTGCTGATAATATAAAAACTATATAAGATAAAAATCTAATTAATAATTACTTATAATTTTTAATTAATTATAAAATTAATTTTAAAATGTAGTATTATAAAATTAAACTGTCATAACCTAACCTAACCAACCAAACTTGCTGATATGAAAAATTTGTTGACAAAAAGTCAGTGCTACCAGCGGGATTCGAAACCGGGACCTCCTGCACACCAATCCGAAACGCTACCAACTATGCCACGAACGCCGCTGAAATCACATCGTTTCGTAAAGGTAATCGTGTCGCCTCAAGAGAAGACATTACCCACTAGAGATATGACGTCACTACACCTTTAGCCTTAGTCCCTTCCGTGTGCCCATTCCGTAGACCGGTGGTAGAACGCAGAACGGCAGGGAGAGGGAACGGCAGTCGGCACTCGGCAGTGCGAGTGCAGTGAATTAGTGAATCCCCATAGCACATTTTTTATTTCAGGATTAGTTTTGCCAACAGTGTCATTTGGAGGCTTCAGATTGACTATAATGAAGGTTTACGTTTACTAATAGAAAAATTAGTTTTGTTCATAAAATAAAATTATAATGCCTCAAGTTCAATTTTATAGTTTGTAATTATAAAATTAAACAGTCATAACCTAACCAAACTAACCAGGCTTGCTGATAATGAAAAATCGAATGAAGGTTTAATCGAGAAAATAGTTATGTTCATAAAATAAAACTATAAATGGCTCAAATTAAATTTTATAATGTTTTAATTATAAAATTAAAATGTCATAACCTAACAAAACCAACCAAACTTGCTGATAATATAAAAATCCTAGACAAAATGTTAGATGCTATCGGGGAATTGCCAACCCGACCCATCCGTTTAAAAAATGTGTGTGTCCGTTCGATAATTCGAGCAAAAATTATCCGAAAAAAGAGAGAGAGAGGGAGAGAATCTTTATTACATAAGCGTGGACTATGACAATAGTAACTCCGCTTAAAATATAGAGATATAGATTTTAAATTCATATTGTTTCGGTTTTCAACTCCGTATGTTTTATTTTAAATATTTCAATAAATTTAATTTATGTTTATAAATTTAAATCAATTAAGTGCGAATTAATGAGCTGATGTCACCTGTCTGCCATGGGACGTCTGTCACTAAACAACACCACTTTTGCGACGTTGCCAATTCCACCAGGCCGCGGCCAGTAGTTAAATGTGGCCGTGATCATGCCCAATTTAACATTGCTAGAGTACTATATACTGCAATTATTCAATTAATTGGTGATAGTTTTTTATTCTCAGTAAAAAAATGAAAAAATAAGGGCCAGATAGAGCAAAAACTGGCTTTGACCCGCATCCCGTTTTCATGGTCTAAAAACCCCGTTTTCAGGATAGCAATCCCGCGAGTGGAACACTGGAGAACGGGTGCACAGGTGCATTAATGTGAATCGATTTAGAGCTGTGTGATGCTCTAATCGTATTGATAGATCGTTGTTCATTTTTGTGCATGCATATTGTACAACTACGGTGTTTTGATATTCTATGGGGGCTTAATGGACAAATGTATATATATATTCTATAAAGTACATAATTTGGAACACATAGGGGGCTTGTCTGTTCACACACACACACACACACACACACACACACACACACACACATACATATACATATGTATATATATACATATATATTTATTATTTTTTTTAATTGGTTTTTCTCATTTTTTACTCAAAAAACATAACATTTGACAATTTCTTTCCAGACTATTTTGCAGAGCTTAAAAAAAGAAATAATTTTGTATGTTGAAGTTTTGTTGTATGCCTAATGGTTACGGAGATAATATAAAAACTTTAAATTTAAAATTTCCATGTTATTCTTTTGGAGGATAAATAAACTGTTGTAGTTTTGCTTGTTAATGGATAATATCAAATTTGGCAATTTTGTTTATTTCATACTTAGCTATCAACGTTTAATAAAAACCACACCACCTATCTTCCCTGTAGCAGCAAACCTAGATACTCATTAAAATTAATGTTATTTAAATAGGGAATAAATCTGACAATTTTCAGGGAATGTAGAAATACAGCCAGGTAAATGGACGTTAGCTTAGTTTGCAGGTTTGCCGCGACAGGGGTATTTTATATGCAGGTAGATTTTTTACATGAGGAAGTACTCAAATACTATTAGGGCAAGTGTTCCAAGCCCATTTGTGTTGTGGATGTGCCGAGAATCAATCCTCGTCCCTACCGCTACGAAGTCCTGCACCAATTGTAAACTTTAAATTACATTATTTATATTAAGGAAATAATAATTATGTGTTTTTCCACCAAGATATTAAAAACTAAAATTTTGTTTTCAGAATATAATGACCTTCAACAAATGTTCAATCGGTGGAAAATGTTATGGAGAAGTAGAAAACTTAGGAGAAGATATCGGGAAGGTCTGTATATAACATTTATTTAATGGATTTAAAATGTGCTTATCAAGTACATATTCCTATAACTATGTATTCAAAACAGATTTTAAACGTATACCACCCTGTACATTTGAATATTGTATGAATTAGCTCAAAAAGTATATTTAAACATTATTACTATTGTTGTCGCCTTTTTACAAATAATACTGTAATTCTAAAAAAAAAAAACATTTAAAAGACATGAAGAATATACATGGGAGGATTGGATGGTTCAAACTACTTGTTTTGAAACACAGGTTTTAATAAATTTTTCTGAATTTAAGTTTGACTTGTAACCCCTGGGTACCGAGTTTATAATAAGCTCTACTTTGCTTTAAGTTATGAAAGTCATTTTCACAACCGTTTTATAGCTGATTATATTCTTATAAACATGTTACAGTTGAAAGACAAAGTGGACTTTTCATTCCACAAGGATTACGAGCCAGAGTTCACATTTTACGATGTTTCTCTGCTCAAAGACGTAAGGTCCAACAAAGCTGAGGTTCACACGTTCTTCACGCTTCTAGCTGTTTGCCACACAGTCATGCCAGGCTCACGAAACGGTCAGTTTCCGTTACGATTTAGAGGAAAAATTTTAGTTGAATACAATAAACACATTGATCCTTTGGCTTCTGAGTTATCATCAACAAATTAATTTATTAAAGAAGATGCATTACGATAAAGAACATTGTATTCTACACACCTATTCCAGATAAAAAACACATAAAGTAATAGTTAAGTCAAAAGAAATTAGATTATAGAATTATAAATAAGAACTACACAGTAGATGTGATCTACTTGTTAAATCCAAAAACAGGTATGAGCAGTTCCAGTACCTCTCTTTCGGAAAGAAAAAAATTGGCATAAATAGGTATATTATTTCACATTAATTGAAAAACCCATTAAATATTCACATTAAATATAACCCATTTCATCACATTAAATGGGTTATATTTCCAGCACCTAATTTTTTACAAATCAAGCACTGGGTATGAGTTTTAGAATTCCATATTTTTAAAATTGTGAAATAGGTGAATCAAAATATTAGAGAAATTATGTTAGTCTACATTTGTGTAAATTTAGCACAACTTATTATAAAAACTTGTTGCTGGTAGTCTAGCAAAAAGTATTGTACACAAGTCACCTTAAAGGTGTTCATGGTGAGCAGCATAGTTTCCTAGCACGAGGCTTACCAAGCAAGGGATTTCATGTTCGTACCGTATTTACTTCTCGGCCTTGTAGAATATCATACTTATTTTATAAATGAATGTTATTAGCATGAGTTTCCAATTTATAATTATGAGTTGTTTCATTGATGGTCCACAGGAAAGCTACAATATCAGGCTCAGTCTCCGGATGAAGCCGCACTTGTTTCTGCAGCTCGGAACTTCGGATTTGTTTTCAAAAATAGAACACCAAATTCAATCACTGTGGAGGTAAGTAGGCGTATACTTTGTTCAATTCAACAAAAATTCAGTAAGTAACATATATATAGTTTTAAATTTTAAAAAGACTAAAGAATCCTAGCAAAATTTTTCTTACTTGATAACCACCATGAAACAAAAAAGTTGACTTCATCAATTATTTTAAAGAGATTTGAACTCAATATTGATGAATAATCTACTAAAGGTACATAACTGCTTATTCGTGCCAAAAAAATTACTTTATTAGTTTAACATCGTTCTAAAATCTTAAATTGCATCTTTGTTACATCTTAATTTTACTTTGTGTCCAATTAAATAAAACACTAACAAAGACCTTCAGTAAAGTGAGACAGTATTTTTTTTTTTTCTACATAAATACAGAAAATTGAGGAGTAACTGTAAGACACCAGTTACATTATTATGTGTCCATATGAGCTTTTTTGTTCGTTTTCATCAGTAGAATATCTAGTGTGAAAGTGTTACACCAAAATATCTTGTATTACTTTATAATGTTGGGTTTATAAATCCAGGTGATGGGAGTGAAAAGTGTTTACGAGGTCCTGTGCATCCTAGATTTCAACAACGTGAGGAAACGAATGTCTGTAATCTTGCGACAAGGACACAAGTTGCGGCTATTTTGTAAAGGTGCTGACAACGTAGTGTATAGAAGACTGAAACCAGGCGACGATCATCTGAAAGGAAAAACACTCGAACATCTGAATGTAATAACAGAAACAAGTTACTTATTTTACATTTTCTATATTAATCAAGCAAAAATACCTGGTGTTTTAAATCTTGTGCTATAATGTTGCAGACAAATGCATTGAGTAGGGCAAAATATTTTTTTTTCAATGTTTGTTGCTCCTGTTTGTCACTTTGCATTTCAACTGTTTTATAAAGGTTATTTAAATTTCTTCAGGCTTGTTGGTTGACTGCAAAAGAAACCTACAGAGTTAAAAAATACGTCATGATTTTGACGAATGAGCAAATAAGCTACCTAGTTTATTTTTCACCAGATGAGTTGCAATTTGAAATATGTGCTAATGTGCTGGGAGTTTATGATTTGCTTTTACAAAAGACTTTCTTGTCAACAATTAATAAAAGTTTGATTTTGATTTTTAGTGTTTCCTTGTTAGTGGTTTAGTTTTTCTTTTTATTTCACAGAAGTTCGCTGGTGAAGGGCTAAGAACACTGTGTCTCGCAGTGAAAGATTTGGATGAGAAATATTTTGAAGCTTGGAGAATCAAACACCACGAAGCTACAGTGTCATTAGACAATAGAGAAGAAAGACTTCACGACATTTATGAAGAGATTGAGAACAACTTGACTCTTATAGGTGTGTTGTTAAACTGTTATGTTCAAACCAAGAAAATCTAAGCTGTGCAACACAATTACAATTAAGTTGAATAACCATATCATTAATAGGAACAATAGGGTTGTGGAGAATAGATGGCAAGAGCTCGGCCACTTCAGCATAGTAAGTAAAACTTGATCATCAATATATTTTGCATTAGGAACCCTAAGAAAGGAACTATGGTGGAGGCGGGATACACAAATACCTCAGGTATGATGCTGCAATTTATCAGCAAATAAAGTTCAATTGACTCAAAAGCATGCAACAGGATGCATAAAAAACCTATAGTTTATTGACTTGTCTAGATTCAGGGTCTACTCCTGCTCAATAAATCTGTTTAAGACTAATATCTTGTTTATCCTCTAGTTTTGTTTAGTAAAGTGCAAACTCCTTTAATTGCTATAAGCTCTATACATAACTCCAGATAATTACTGAAGTTTCCTTAGCTTATTTCTTCTACCCTTAAAATAAGTAGCATTTCTATTCTCCTACGATTGTTCATATACTGACTTAAATTCTACTTTGCTCCAGGAGTAACAGCCATAGAGGATAAACTCCAGGATGGAGTGCAAAGAACAATAGCAAACCTGTCAATGGCAGACATCAAGATCTGGGTTCTAACGGGGGACAAGCAAGGTAAATATACTAAACTCTGTTTTTTGCCCCTTCAGTCTTCAACCCTTAGTACAGCTCTTATGAGTGATAGAGCCAATTGAATTACCGTACTTGCCTAGTTAAACATTACATTACATTATCAAGGTTCAAGACCGCCACTTGGGGATGTGTTTCAGACTCAATGAATTATATTTGAATGCAGAAATGGTGTGAGATGATCTGTGTAGCTTTATTACTGATTAAGACCCACCATCTCTTTAACCAAAACCGTTTGTTAATGCCCATTGATCAAGGTTAGCTGAGTCTGAAATCGCTAAAAAATACCGGCACTCGAGTGAAAATTTAAAAACGTACGTTTTCAGGAAAAGCACTTTGCAAAATTTTTTCCCCTTTTTTCAAAACTTTTATTAGTTTTTTTATTTCATTAACATTTGAAGTTTCATAAAATGTCCATGGTAACGCAATATCTTTGGTAGTTTTTTTTTTTAAAGAGCATCTTTAGTGGAAAAACACAAAATCCTGTCACGACCATTACGGACGTTTAAATGAATATTAAAAATAGTTAATATTATTTTTATAACTATGTTTTGCTATAAACTAATTTACTTTTATGACCATTATACAATAAAAAGGTCACTGAGCTTTTGGTATATTTGTTCTTTCTAAAAAAAAATAAAAAACTCAAAAAATTGAAAAAAAAGCCAATAAAATTTTTTTTAAGTTTGTATAACTCAGAAAAAACTTACCTGAGACCCGAAAAATCGTTATGTTTGTATATAGGTGTGCTTCTTTTGTGTATAAAACATTGAAATATGACGATATTTTAATTTTTGAAATTTTTATGATCATAAACGTGATGGTCAGGGACAAGCGGTACGGTCGTGAATTGTCTGAAATAATCTAAATCTTTCTAAACAATCCTTCAATTATACTGTTAGTTATAATAAAAATATGTGTTCAATTGAACTAAACTGTTCAATTTACAATTATATTAAAGTTATTGTCACGACCAAACACACTATAATCCATAAGGCTGGATTGGTCGTGAAAAAACCCACGATGGTCGTGAAACTTTGGTCGTGAAATTACGTGTTATTTGGCTCTGTTCTGGCGGTCGCTCTGCACCTCATGTTCGAGGATACAAAGTGGACTTCTAGGTTAATCTAGCAATTGAAATATCTTATAAAGAAAAATTAACACCATGTCTACTTCATCAAATGACTACGTACGGTCATGGACACACCAAAATTACAAAAAACACAATCTATCCTTTATTAATCTTGTAATTCCTCCTTTCAACTCGAAACGACCGGCACTACAATCCTGACGTACACCCCGAACTAGTCTCTAAAACCAACTGACTCCATCGACGCCAGGCTTGCTACTGTCGTGCTCCAAAGTTGAAAACTTTTCCCAAATGGTCGTGACGCCAAATCGAGGGACAGACTTATTTTGTCATGGTAGTCAGTTTGCAATGACAATAAAATTATAATATGCTCCTTTTTTGTAAGTTTAATAACCATTGATGACATAAAAATATGGCTTTATATATTTCGGCATGAATAATTAGTCTAAAAACAGCGTGAAAGTTGGAAAATGTACCCTAGGGACACGTCATGGTCGTGAATTTCGAAACTTTAAAAATACGAAAAAAATACCTAGAACCTATTTAAAACTAAATAAATGTGTGTAACATGTTGCCCCCATCCCAAAAAATATAAAAACACATAATAATAAACTGGACGGACATGAACGGACATGAAAACGTACGTTTTTAAATTTTCACTCACTCACATATTTTATCAGGATCAAACCAACTAACTTTTGATTGCTGAGCGAGCATTAGCTACCCAGCTATGATGATGGAAAGTTTGATCGATGAATTTGTTTGGAGCAAAATTGATGAGTTATTTAGTTAATTATGACAATCACTGACTTTTTGTTATCAGTTTTAGTCTCATTGTTACAGAGACTGCGATCAACGTAGGCTACTCGTGCCAGCTGCTCAATGATGATATGGAGATGATGGTGGTTGATGCAGACTCCAGTGATGAAGTTGTTGAGCAACTGTTGAAGTGCCAGAGCTCCATTGGCACTGGCTCTTACTTCGGACTCAACCGCAACAGCATAGTAACATTCAGGTATGTAGTGATGTCTGTTCCCAAAATGTAACTTGATTGAAATATATTTTCAAGCATTTTGTGAATTTTTTTATAAAAACCCACTAAAATCCTAAAACTTATTAAAACCGTATGAAATCTACTAAAATTATATTTAAAATTACTGTATACAGTAGAACCCCTCATATCCGACCATGATGGGACCAGGCCAATTTCGGAACAGCCAAAAGGATATCAGGAGGAGCATAAATAATTTGAGGCCTCGGCAACACTGGTAATCGTCTCCCACGACAATAAGGATTACATTTTTGTTCTTCATATTAGGAAATGTTGGATTGTTGGGTTCAGCATATTATTTAGTTCAATTAGGATGGAGTCTCAACGCAATGTATTGCTTTCCCATCTTTAAGGTTATAAAAAAATCCATTCTAGTATAAGAGTTCTAATACCGGTATGCAGTTTTTTCCAAAATTGGATACCAATATGAGATTTTTAGCATATGAAAAATCTAGAAATGTTTCAAAGAATTTGGGTCTTTGGTTCACTTAGATTCGGGAAAACAAAAAACACACACATTTAAACAACTGATAAACAACAACTAATTCCTGGAGCTCTAAGGGTTGTTTACTGTTCCGCTTCATTTGCACTACTATTATAAAGAACCTTTTGTCTAGACATGTCCTTATGTTGTATCCGCAGTGATGTGACTAGCAGTGACTACGAGAGAACTGGTGTACAAGAGCAGAGAGATGTGGTAGAGTACGCTCTAGTCATCAGTGGACAGTCTCTCGCACACGCACTCAGTCCTGATGTGGAACATCTGTTTGTCAACATCAGCACACGCTGTGAGTAGGGTACTACACTATACACTAGCTTGGACTAATGATTTTTGCATCTGTATTCTGTAAATCTTTATCTGTAATATCCTAGGACACTATAGCTAGCCAGGTTATAATTACTCTGGTCTAGACCTATAGGTTCACGGCATTACCTCTTAGATAAAGACATTGATGACTTGCAGGATTTAAGCCTGGAACTGAATCTTCACACTCTGCCACCAGACCAGCTCTTGCACTCACCAAAGAATGCAGCTCTTTAATTAGTAGAAAACTGTGTTAAGTTAAAGTTTTAAAGTGTTTGTTTACTGAGTCATGCAAAAAAATATGACTTCTAGTGACTGAATTATCACAATTGCGATGTCACATTTTATTTCATGCAAATTGGTTTGTATGTCTAATTACATACAACCCAACAGAGGGAGGGTAGGTCTCCCTGTGCATACCTACCTCCTAAAAGTAATTTGAAAACCCATTTCCTCATCTGCTTGTCGACTTATCAATAAATGTTACTTTTCAGATGCTCTTCCTATAGTAGGATGATTTTTCTGGGATGCTAAAACATTAAAAATAACATCCCATAAATATATTTCAGATATGAAATATGAGTCTTTTATGTTATAGTTAATAGTTAACAAATGGAACCGTGAGTTATTAATTCCCTAAGAATTTATTTTTTACTTCTTTATTTCTTTGTAAGCTTTTAGGCTCAATTGAAAGTTATAATTGACTCTTAATCAATGTTTGGAATGTTTAGGCAAAGCAGTGATCTGCTGCAGAGTAACCCCTCTTCAGAAGGCTTTGGTGGTGGAACTTGTCAAGAAACACCAAAATGCTGTCACACTGGCAATCGGGGATGGGGCAAATGATGTCTCTATGATCAAGGGTAAATGCTGTTGAAATATTTGTTCAGTGCTGCAATAAAATTATACACCTCAAATTTCTTGACGGATTAGCAAGAATTGCAGATAGTCATAATTGACAAATGAAGAGTTAAGCGTTACACTTCAATGCATTGTTGTTTAACTACAGGTTTCACGCTACAGAGTTGAGTATGTTTTAAGGCATACTATGACTTCATAATGTTATATGGATTCTCAATATTTCAGCTTAGCTAGCTTTCTAAGTCTTTGACCTATGACATTTTTGTGTCGTAGTGGCCAACATAGGAGTGGGGATCAGTGGCCAGGAAGGAAATCAGGCCATGTTGGCCTCCGACTACTCCATTGCCCAGTTCCACTTTCTAGAAAGACTTCTCCTAGTACACGGAAGATGGTCGTACTATAGAATGTGCAAGTTTTTGCGCTACTTTTTCTACAAGAACTTTGCCTTCACGCTTTGTCATTTCTGGTTTGCTTTCTTCTGCGGCTATAGTGCACAGGTACTCATTATGGAGAATAAAATTTGTTTGTTGTATGTGTGAAATGTTTAGAGAAACTTATGTACATAGAGTTTTATCGACACCTTGGGATAATTTCATTCGCCTTCCTGTTTGAAGAAGTACAATTGGATAATTTAAATTTATAATTAATAATTCTTTGACAACATATTCAATGGTAAGTCATTGAAAAAATGCATGAATAATGTTTTTTTTATTTTCAATGACAGTGACATTTTGTACGAATGGATTAAACGCTTTTAAGGTAAAGCGGTTCAAACCTATTCTAGTGGTTTTGCTAAGGTTTGAACCTGTGTTTCTCCATCACTAAAGCCTGAGACACTTACTACAAGGCTAACTTTTACAAGGACACAATAATGGTCCTTTGAGAGTTTTGTTTTCCATAGCGTGCACACATGGAATCATAAGAGGAAAGCGGTCCAAAATCCTTTACAGTATTTATAATTTGTAGTCAAACTCAGGTAATTGATGTAATAGCTAAATGACCGTTACAATCTCAGATTTTAGACCATTTTTGTGCACTCTACAATAAAAATTAGCTTCAAATCATGACAGGCAAGTTCTGCGAGAGCTAACACTATTTTGTTGCAGACGGTGTTCGACCCGATGTTCATCGCTGTGTACAACCTGTTCTACACGTCGCTACCTGTCCTGGCCTTGGGAGTGTTTGATCAGGACGTTGACGACAAACACAGCCTAACCTACCCTCGGCTCTATACTCCGGGCCATCTCAATCTCTTCTTCAACAAACGGGAGTTCCTACTCAGCGCTCTCCATGGGTTCTTCACTTCTGCCATTATATTTCTTGTGCCTTATGGTCAGTGATTTCTTTTTGTTTTTTTTAGACAAAATAGAGAAGTATTGCAGTTGTAGGTATGTTTTCAAATTGAATATTTTTGGTAATCTTTTGCAAAAAAGACTATGTTCACCACTTTCAAAAAGTTTATACAAAAGAATCTATAGAATAATCTAATCTTAATAGTTTTGAGAGTAACTAGGAAGTTTCAGACAATTTTATTGTAGAATTTGAATTTGATTTAGTTAGCCTATGGTGAATCTGTTCGCGGGTTCAGTCGGTAGCATGACTGACTCTACAAACTAATGTAGAGTGGGATCGTGTACTGTACTTACTCACCCCTTGATTTGCTGTATACATTCCACTCACAGGCCTAGAATCAGCCAATCTTCACAGACATGTTTAATGGTTTATTTAATTTGAATTACAGAAACTTTCAAAGAAGCGATTTCCTCCCATGGATATGGAGTGTCGGACTTTACAGTGTTAAGCACAACCGTTGCGACAATCCTGGTGATTGTAGTTACCATCCAGGTAAGATAATACCACATAAAATCCCTATTTAAAAAATGTATGCTATAATATATAAATTTTGCCTTTTCCACTTCACACATTGTATAATTTAAGTTTTATCGTTTTTACTTGACTTATTTTGTGTTGGGTGAACCCTTTTCAATGTCAAAACTTCTGCTACAAAACTCCAAACAAGACCCCACAAGTGTTTCCTCACGTTTTTTTTTTTTTTTTCATTTATTGAGAATAGATTCATCCAGCAGATTCATGATGACTAAAGATGTCCTATATGCAAGACTATGATGTTAAAATGCATGACTATGTTTTGTTATCTTCTTTGTACCTATCTATTAGCCCCTGGACTCTAATATCCAAGTAAATCTTGCCAACCCAAGTAAAAATATCTCAAACGTGTTTAATCCCTTGAATTTTTATAGTATAGCGTTATAGCTTGTTATAGTGTCTAGGCCTTTACAACTGTTTTGTTTTACCTAGGTGACACTGGATACCTCATACTGGACTGTGTTCAACCATATTACTATCTGGGGCAGTCTGGCCTGGTACTTCTGTCTGGACTACTTGTACAACTACATCATCAAGGGCAACTATCAAGGCAGCCTCACAATCGTAAGTACTGAGTCCCAAGTTTGATCCAACAAAACCCTTAATCCAAACAATGCTCTGGTTAAACAACCACAGCTATTGTACAGTAACAGGAGAACATATTTATCCTCAGGTTCTTGTGTTCTGGTAAATGATGAAAAAACTGCCTAAAATGGTAACCAAAATATGTAGAAAACCCAAAAACTGTGATGATGTAAAACGCTGTTCCTACTTCATCCAACAGCTTCCTTGTCAACGTAGTGTTCTTGAAGTTGTCTTTATCATTCCACAATGATTAACGACACTGAACTAGACTGAACTAGCATAAGACTTTCAATTTGAGTATCACTAAGCTTTTTTCAAAGCAATAATGTCTTTTTCCTTAAGTTTGGCCGGAGGCCCACAGTCCTTTCTCCTCTGACATCTTGAACTAGACTGAAAACTGTGGGAAGAAGCATGACTTGTCGGAGCGTCGAGTATTCCCGTAGGGTTTGGTGCTGCCTTCGACGCTATCATGACACTCACCGCTAAGGTCTAACTCTGAACGGCAACATATGGGGCCATGACTAATGGTTGTCGCTCACCGCTAGTATTGTACCCGGGGCCTTACACAAATATTACATAACTTCTCATAACATTATTATCAGCATATTATTATTATTCCTAATATGTAATCCTGCAGAAGTTGAGATTTAGTTCCATTGCTCCTTTGTTTTTATTTATTTTTGTGTATTTACGCTATTAGCATGTTTAACATCTTTTGTTAGGGAACCATCCAAACCCTGGTCTTGTTCTTGTTACTATCTAACGTCAACTTTTTTGTCAGAAACATCATAAAAATGTTAGTATTTATTATGGCATCTGGGTCTTTTTTAAGGTGGTGGATGAGCCGTTGTTCTGGCTCACCACTGGCATGACTGTCGTACTGTTGATGGCGCCTGTACTGGCGTGGAGGTTCTACTTCATTGATGTATGTCCTTCACTCGCAGACCGAGTGAGACTTCAGCAACGAGTAATCAGGTAAGTTGCTAGTTCATCTTTAACTCCCTATAATATCATTTGAATGGAGGTGCTTCTAAGGTGTAATTATATTGCAAATTGAAATTGGTGTGGTATGGGTGGACATAAAGTATAGCCGACTAATATGAGCCATAATTTATTAATAACTCAAATATCAAGGAAGTGTGGGTTTTTTTATAACTACAAATAATATAACGTGTATCTTTAGTCAGTACTATTTTTTAACTGAATAACAAAGAACAAAAACTGGTGGATAATTTTCCCAAAGATGTTTTTATCTTATTAAAGGTAAAATATTACAGTGAAAATTTAACTCTTTGGTTAGTAGTTACTAGTTAGAATACTGGAAGATAAGTACTGTAGTAGTTATAGCAGTCTTATGTTATCAAATAATTAATTGTCTTCATAAGAATGAGACATTTATAAGGGAGTATATTTTAATCCATGCTTGTATACATCTGGATGGATCTACTATTGAAATAAACTGAAACAGTAAATATCTTTTCAGGTCCCAAATTTCAGAGACAAAGTTTATACCCAACTCGTCTCGCAAGCAAAGGCGATCTATCAGGTCTGGATACGCATTCTCTCACCAGGAGGGGTTTGGCCGTCTTATCACTTCTGGCAAGTTGATAAGGAAGGCAACCAACAAAGCCAATGGCAACGCAGCTTCCTCACGACTCGGTATGAGGCTGGACAAAGTATTCTGGCACGGTAAAGCATCTTTGCCGTGTGATATCGAGATTTAGCTATTTGAAAATTAATTTAAAAGAAACCTTATAGTAACAGTGCATTTTGGACAATTTTAGGACCACCTTAAAAGTTGCAACCATCCTGTTTTTATTAAAGATTTGTAAACAATAATTTTAAGTTTATAAATTATGCCTGACATTTTTCGGGTGGTATATTAAGAAAAATGATATATAAATGAATTTGGACTGATGGTGTTGTTGGCCTCTGGGAATCTCAAAACGAAAAAGTAAATCTGTTCCGGGTCCCGGTCTTACCATGAGGCCCACAATAGCTTATTCCCTATATGGGAAATTCGCTAAAAAAAGAAGCTGTATTCATCTGTTGTTTTCACCCTGTTACAAAGCAAGAGTACAGTAGCTAGCAAAACAAAAAAAAAACTTGTAGTTTACATAACAATTGACACCATTTACTCTGAAATAATTCCTGCATTTATGTTGTAGGCAAAGAAGGGGCCAACGGACTTCCTCCAGTATGTCCAGTCTATTTGCCGTGAATCGCTGCATCATGAGAATCTTGATAACATCGTAAAACCTTAATTATACGTCATGGAACCTTGATGAAACCTTGCATGAATCTTGATGTTACATCAGAGGAGTTTTGATGCAATGTCTCAGGAATCTTGATGCATCATCATAGGGAGTTTTGACTTGAATGAAAAACTTTAGGAGTGGCTTTGGATGTTAAATTCTATTTCTGTAACTATTGAACATTGTGATTGGCTGTCCTGACATTGAGAGACTGATGTCAGAGAAGAAGACATCTTGTGGATGTTGGATGTTTTATGTCAAGTCCCCCTCTTCAATCAGAGATCAGTCCCTAATACATCCTTAACAGGTGCAACAGTGATATGATTATGTGTTTTACTCCAGCAAAAAGTTGCCGTGTTTGACATAAATCTGTAATTTTTATTATAAATTATGGTAAGTGGTTTGATTTAACTAATGTCCTTTATATTTCTAAAGCTGGCTGCAACTTAATGGGGATGGAATGTCTATTTCAAACAATATTCAACGCTTGTTATAAACAGGTGCAATAGTCTCAATTATATCCCATCCAGACGCAATATAAAAATGATTAACCCACAACATTCGTAATATCTCTTAGATGATTGATCATAGATCCTCTTATATTTTTTACAAATTCTTGGATAATGATTTATGTTTTCATAACTGCAGATAAAGGTTATTTTTACGGGATCTATTTGATAAGGGGCCGAGAAGAGGAATACAAATATTAAGTTCATTTAGAATTTAAAAATAAAATTCAATTTGTAGAACAGTAACTATATTAAGAATATTTAACACTGTATAATATTGCAACTGTAAGCTAAGCATTCCTGGTGGCCTTATAAAAGACTGTGATAAAAAGTGCAAATTTGTATCTATAACAATGTGTAAATATATTTTGTAATTTTTAACAGATTAGATGGTTTTCAACCATATTGCTATTTAAGGCCACAGAGATTGGCTTAATTTATGTACTTGTGTTGATGTAACTGGATGGTTTTAATTGCATTGTCTGTATTTTACATTCCTTTTTATCAATTAGTAGGCTGTGCCTTGTGAGTAAATTAACTGTTTAACACAATCATGTGTAGGCCTAACTAAAATGTACTGGGTTCATTTATGTGTGGATAGGCAACATATTATAAAGTCGCAACAAAGAGTAAAAATTGTAACAGATAGCAACCTAAACAAGAACATATCATAGACAGTTGTTACACAGATTACCTGGTAAATTAAATGTTATTATTCTAATTAGGTACATTAACTTTTAAGAGTATTGCAACAGTTTGTTGTACATTTTTCTTTTCAAATATTCATAGTAGATTCACAAATTATTCTATAGTTTTGTTTACTTTGTAACTTGTTACTCGAGTGTTTTGTAACTAAATTTCAGTGAAAACAATGGTTTCCAGTGAATTTTGACGAATAATAAATTTAAAATAAGAAAATTTACAGTAAAAAATCATAAAATCATACTCTTGGTACCAAGGTAAACCTATAATATTGAGATGTAGCTACACCACTAATGTCAATAGCAAAAATATGATTCATTTCCCAAAGAGTGATCATAATGCTCAATATTGCAATACCTGTAATACTAATACTATTCCAAACTGTTATAATTTTGTAAATTAAATACTGGCTTTTATTTATTTTTTTTACTTTTAAATTTTGTTGTACAGTTACAGGAACTTTAAAGTACAACGAAGGATGAACGATACATTGCTATTAATTGGGATTAAAAGAATAACACTATATTAATTAAGTTAAGTTTTTAGTTTTAGCTAAAAGAACTATGAGTCACAACACCAAGTATAGAAGTGAGACTATTCTGTGTTAACAACAAATACTCAGTGAAGTGAATAAAAATAGTAAATTCTTATTAGTATTTTCTAACTAGTTTTAGCTAATTCTCAAAACGAGGTGAATAAGAATTTGCTAAGACTAGTTAGAATATACTTGGATCATTTTGGCAATTCCTAGTATATTCTAACAGGTTAGAACAAACTAGGCCTAGAAAATACTAAGATGACGCAAACTTTCAAGTGTAAGATGAGGAAAACAAAATAAACTATAAACAAAAATGAAACAGAAGAAACCAAAGATCTCTCACTTCCGGAACTTCAACGTTTGGTACTGCTACAGCAGATCAAACTGATCAAAATTCAAATTAAAAAGGAAACGTTACAGTTGGAACTTGGAACTACTTAAGATTCTTCCGTAGTGGAAGCCATGTTGGATTTCTTCCCCATAAGAACAATGTTAACTTTGGGTCCAAATATCTCATCAGCAAATTGTCATATAATTATGGATAAGGAGTTAAATTTAAGGAATTGCGGTCCTCTAGAGATTGACGTTTTTTATTTCACAATTTTTAATTTTTATAATGAATAATTGATTATTAATTAGCTTAAAATTAAGCTTATTATTGAAAGGAAATGAAAATGGATTTTCGAAATTCAAAAACCTCAGTCACAAGTCTATTATGTTAAAAATACAAATTATAAATTTAAAAGCTATATCTTAACAAATAACGCCGTTACGTGTCCACAAATGATGTAATGTTTAACATTGTTCTTATGGGGAAGAAATCCAACATGGCTTCCACTACGGAAGACTCTTAAACACCCTAAGAACTCTAGTGGAAGTGACATGATTATGGGCGACAACATTGATGGCACTGACGGCTTCTTTGGAAATAAATACATTGTTTTATAAACATTGTTAAAGTCAAAGTCTCCCAACTTCTATTTCCTACCCCATATCTAGGATTTGTAATAAATAAAAAAATATTTAAAAAAACATAAAAAAACTTAAATTTTTGTTCATAGAAGCAAGCACTGTATGGGGGACTTTACAAGTGCACATGCTTCTACTCCAGTAAATGTACTGGTAAATGTACTGCTTGCACTTATCTACATCTAACTCACGCCTGACAGAGTACGTTTTTCTGTTCCGTACATGCATAAACATAGCCAGGATGACTGATAACCCTTTTTTGGCCTCCGTCACCAGAATGCTAGCCTGCCTACCCCTAGCTTAAAAATCTTTAAGAATATACTAGCCCTGGCTAGTAAAAACTAACGCTTATTCACCTACAAAGGTTAGAATATTCTAGTCATTTGATGATCTTAGAATTTACTAGGGGTAGTATATTCTGACTACTTTTATTCACCTAAAACTTAGAATATACTTGAAATCAGCTTAGTTTAAGCAAATACTAGTTTTTATTCACACCACCCAATGTCAATTTCAGCTACAATAGTGCCTAATACATGTGTGCCTAGAGATGAGTATGGATACTTAATTTTCTTTATATTTATTTGAGTGTTAGCCTTTTTTATCAAATGCAATTTTTTCATAACTCTGATTTACACAATCTATACTTAATAAATATGGCTATTTCATCAAATACTCTAACTTATACCCCCAAAATTTAAATCAATTTTATTTCTTGGAGAGAAAAAAAACATTATTGATTTGAATAATTGCATTTAAAAGTCAGTTGTGTAAAAGTATTGTCTTACTTGCCATAGTATATAAGCACAGCAGGTCATTATGTAGACTATAATAAAATGTAAAATGTATGGTTTAACAATATTTATCTATGTATTTGTATAACTGATGTGGCAAATGGCAACCATTTTATTTTTTCTCATCAAGTAACAATGCTACACGATGTATCTCACTCATTCTCAACTAATCCTTAATCCACTTCAAACTACACATTCAGTTTATGCATTAGTATCTTAAAGAAAATAAAATAAATTTAATCAAGCTCCAGTATGATATTGAATTGAATTGATAACTTTTTTATTTTTTTGTATGCACGTCAGTATTTGAATTTTTCTCATTTTTAATTTTACTATTTGTGTTGTGTCATAGACAAAAAGAATTAAATATAGACCGTCAGCCATGCTGCGGTTACCATAGGTCCTGGCGTGTAGCGAGTATGCCGTGACTACATGCACTCCCAGCGACAAGCGCCAGAACCTATGGTAACCACAGCACAGCTGACAGTCTATATTTAACACTTTTTGTCTATGGTTGTGAAACATAAAATTATTGTTTGAACCATTTACTACATGCAATTAACTTTGAATTTTTACACTCTTATTATGATTTTTTTTAAGCATGGTTCAGATTATTTTTTATCTTTATTTTTAGTTTAGGTTACATTTACATTCTACTATTAAAAAGACCATAGCTAAGATTTTTTATTGTTTTAAATTGCATTGTTTGAAGTTCAAAAAGTATTCTCCGCGCACTGCTTTTTCCTATGTAAATGTAACAACAAAACCAATACCAAAGCTAGTTATATTTTGTATTATAGTGTTTCCATTTCTTATTGTTTGGAATATATGTTAAGCTAATTTAATTATTTCAATGTTACAATAAAAGTTAAGATATGAGATTTGCATTTATTTAGTCCTTCTCAGTTTTTAAAGAGGTGTCTATGCTGTAAACTGTCAAACTTCAAAAGAGGCATTTAAAATTCAGCAATCCACTACGTTATTTACCCTAAACATTTACGTTTTGTAGAAATCAATATATTATTTCATTTACCAACATTTTGGCTACGATGTAGAGTGCAATCTTCAGGATGACTTGACTAGATCAGTTGGTTGACGGATCAAGTCACTTGACAGTTTTTGCATATTTTGACACTGTCATCACCCAAAGACCCATTTTACGTGATTGTCGAGGCCTTTACAGGAAGATTTTCAAAGAATGTCTTTCCAAAGAGAGGAAGAGAAGATTCTTCCATAATAGATATAAGCAATAATTTACAGCAAAGGGCTAACCGAAATCCTTAAAACCAGCATAATCCATACAAAATACGAGTCGTTTGAACTGAAATATTAGTAAAGATGACATGTAACATTTATTTAGTTAGACAAATACATACAGTAGTTAAATGAAAATATTTTAAATGATTTCTTTTACAAAAACTGAGCTAGCAGTTCTGTGTTTTGCCTCGTCGTGTTGTTGTGTTTGACGTGGAATGGGACTGACAACACAAACACGTCGGAAAGACCAAGTTTAACACAACTCATGCGAATGATTTCCAGGTAATAATTCAAACAAGTATTGTCAGTAACCGCCCAGTGCTTTTATTTTACAACCTATATAATAATTTAAATACTGACTAGTATATCAATACATTTTGTAGAATGAGTATTTTTAACAAGTATTTTCATTTATAAATATCTCGTATTATGTAAATAATTCCGATACGGAAAATAAACAGAACTTTGATTATGTGAAGGAAGACACTATTAAATAACTTATGTGATGGTTACCCGGTAGAAACAGTTTTTTGCTGTAGTAGGCCTAATACTCTAATAGATGAGGAATCACACACAGTAACAAAAAAATTGAACGAGTATTCCTAAAAGACTAAAACAAAATATACTGTACATAGGATGGTTGCAAACAAAGGAATCGTTTGGATCCAGAAATATTTCTCTATATACAGTTTTTATGGCGCAGACCCTGTCACAGAATAAAATTAACTAACTTTTTAAGTTCCGAAAATTTACAATAAATTATGCAATATTTTAACAGTGTCATAAATCAACAACTCTAACCTTTGGCGAGTACATTCAAACATTTCCTAGCATTTCGGGATTCACAACAGCGAGGGGGTTTTTAGAAAACCTTGTCGTTGAAAATAAATACTGGTTCCTAAGAAAAAACTGCCTAATTGCCTACTTTGTTCATGCGACCTTGTCACAAATTTCATTGGTAAACTCTGAACACTTGGCTTTTCCGCCCAAGTCCCCGGTGCGGTACTTGCCCTCCTTGATGGTGTCTAGGCACGCCTTCTGTATCTTGTCTGCATACTGGTTCAGCTCCATGTAGCGCAGCATCATACACGCAGATAACAGCAGGGCCGTGGGGTTGGCTAGGTCCTTGCCAGCGATGTCTGGTGCTGTACCGTGCACCTGAACATGCAACGCAACATTAAAAATGCTATCTAAAGTAAAAATACAGAATGTTCCTAAATTAATTGAAGTTGAAAGAGGTATTTGTATTGAATTTCAGTGTATAGACAATTTCATTTGGCGTGGCAGGCGAGTGTGCATTAGAATCCTTTCTCTCACTGTTGCTTTTGATCTTTTGTACATTTAATTGCTGTTGTATTAGTTTAATACCACTAGTGTCTCAGCGTTTCCCTCATTCCTTCCACACATCATCCCACATTCTATACCTGCTGCATACTGCATAGTGATGTAGGTTAAACATTGATAACAAGACCCTCATGGGGATTATAAAATAAGTCTGGTTATCAAGGTTGACTTCTTATTGAGGTTTGCATTAACATGTGTTTAGAGGTAAAATAAATTCAAGGGGATTTGAAAAATACACTTGTTATCAAGAGTGACTTCTTATCGAGGGGCTTCTTATCGAGTTTCCACTGTATTTTGTTTAACACATCCTTTACAGTTACCAGATCTGAGGCTTTTGTGATTTGTATCTTAAAGAAGAATTGTTTGTATATGCATCAAAGATAGCTTAACACTCTAGAAGTACAAAACAGTTGCCTACCGATGTGGCTGATTTAATTATTATTCATGAGACACTTATGAACGTTCAAAAATAATTAATTTACTCATCAACTTGATTTGCGCTGTAAGAAAAATCTTGCTCACATTGAAGCTTTATGTATTAGTGTAAGTTTAATGTGAAATCAAATATAAAGCTTTACCGCTGTTATTAATTTTTAAGTAGACTGAAAATTGTTAAAACATAAATTTTTGTGAAGGAGGGGGATTTCTTGATTAGTCCCAAAAATTTACATCAATGTGCCCCAGGACTCAAAAACACTTAACATCCAGGTATACTAAAGAAATCCAACTAATCCTATTATTAATAGTACGGTATGTTAATCAATAATTAACATTAGGTTTTATGAGTACCTAGGGTTGCTGCTACAGGGAGGGTAAAAAAGTGTGGTTTTTAGTAAAGTATTAATAGCTTAGTATAAAATAAAGAAATTTACCTTTCTTTTAAAATGTAAAACATAAGTGAGCTTAGTGTTATTTGTATTTTTTTCAGGATTCACTTAAGAAATTCCAGATAAAAGTTGTAGTAAGATGTTATGTTTACTTTTATATATTTATCAAAAATTTGTTAGATAAATTTGTTCATACTGTGTGATCTTAGATACAAAAATATAAAATGTTGTTTAGGAAGTGAAGACGTTTTTTACAGTTTTACATTAGAAGCAAAGCATTACAAGTTTGTTACCCTACTTGTATCATAAATACTATCCTTTTTAAATATGGCTTCTTAAAAACAGAAGCGGCTTTTAATTTTTGTAAAATTTGGTAAAAACTAAAGATTTGGCCTAAGTAAAATTTTACACAGTTTACATTTTGTTTTTATAACTTGTAAATAGCAAATTTGTTTACAATTTTCCTCTTCATGTGCTTCCTAGTAAATATTAAATATGAAAATGAATATTTAATTTATTTTTACAACACTATTAAGCTCGCATACAAACTTAAACAGAAGTAAATGCAACAATTAACCCAGTAAATCATCAACTGACACAAAGAACTGTCTGACATAAGCCATCTATTTATCAGTGAGAGGACAAAGTTTTAGATAATGCTAAGTACATAAATATAATTGATATCACAGCACTTGATTTAGTTAAATTAAACTATGGTATTAATTTGGTTGAAACAGCACCAATTAAAATGAATGAATTTTTAAAATATTCAAATTAAATTATTGTAAAACCAAAATTAGATGGAAAAGTAAATGACAGGTTAATAATAATTTTTTAATATATTACTATTATTAAATTGGACTTTTCCAACATGTCTTGTACACGTTTAAAACTACACAACGATTCTGGAGGTGGATCCTCCCGTTATCACTGTTTTTTTTTTGTGTTTAGCTGTAAGATTGTAGTAAAAATAATGTACTAACTGACTTTCTTTTCAGCGTTTTATATTTTTCAATTTAGTTTTAATTTTTTGTTTCATTATGTACTTGATCTTTTTATTGTTGTATATATGTTCTAAATAGTTGTTACTTGTTACCCAGTTAGCGGTTTTTGTGACTGGCCGGCTTTTGAGGGCCAATTTAGATTAATGCAGAGTAAGTATTTTTCACTTGATAACTGGAGGAGTGTACCTTCAGAAACATAGTGTAGTAATTAACGAAACACATGTTGGAAAAGTCCAATTTAATAATAGTGACATTTCAGAACCAACGTCATAATGAATTTTTTAAACTCTGTTTAAATATTATATTATTAATGCTTAAAAAATATATTTTATAGCTTATTCCTCTATTATAAATTTTCAAACACACTGAAAATTGTTACAACATAAACTTTAAAGTGAGTTAAAGTAGGTGGGAGAAGGATTTTCTGATTTATTATTATTCATTGATATACTGACCGACTCAAAGAGTGCGCCGCTGAGGCCGATGTTGCCGCTGGGAGTGAGCCCGAGGCCGCCGATGAGTCCTGCACACAAGTCACTGAGGATGTCACCGTACAGGTTAGGCATCACCAGGACGTCGTACTTGTTGGGGTCTTGGACCATGTTGAGACACACTGTATCCAGGTACTTCTCCTCAAACTTGACATCAGTAAACTTCTCTGCCGCCTCTCTACAACACCGCAGGAACAGACCGTCCGACATCCTCCTGCGCAACAAGGTCAAGTTTGTAAATTAATCAATTTTAAGACCTCTGTAATCCGTTATAAGAAAACAGGTAACCTAAGTTACATTTAGTCAAAATATTTATCTACAAATGGTGCAAGGGAAAATTTGGAATTCAGACATCATTATGGAAGTCTTTTTTGACAATTTTCTAGAAGTTTGGACTAAAGGTAAAAAAGATTTAAAGGGTTATTGCAGTGGAAAATTATTTCAGGATCACTCTCTTCAAAGAAACTATAATTTAAATTACATAACCTATTATGAACCTATTGCACTCTTAAAGGGCATCTAATTGTATTTTGTTGCTAGACAGCCACATGTTATATTTTACAGCTGATTTGCATTATTCAAATACAAGTTCTCTTAGAGAAAGATTCCTAATGTCCTCAAAATATCCTCAGATTCTTTAATTGACCTTTCATGCAGCTTATCTACTGTCACTTACATGATGTTAGCCTTGTGCACAGCTGTGACCTTTTGTCGGCCATTGTCCCGTGCGTATTTGAACGCAAACTCTGCAACTCTCCGTGAGGCCTCCTCCGTAATCAACTTGATACTCTGCACGACTCCATCCACAATCTCGTGCTCTATGCCCGAGTACTCTCCCTCCGTGTTCTCTCTGATGGTGATCACGTCCACATCATCATACAGTGTTGGGTAGCCTTCAATCGACCGACAAGGTCTCACGTTGGCGTACAGGTTGAACTCTCTGGAAAATAACATTTACATATTACCAAGCTGGGTACTTTGGTATTCTGGAAAATAACATTTACAGATTACCAAGCTGGGTACTTTGGTATTATAACGACCACACCAATAAATTGGCTTCAAATAAGATTTTAATTGATAATTAGTTTAAATAACAAAATCTTTTTAACCTAATCTAACCTAAAACATAGTCCATCCTTAGGTTAGGTTAGGTTAGATTATAATTATTAGGTGTGGCCGGTATAATACCAAAGTACCCCAAGCTGTCTACAGCAGTTGTCCCTCGATAGTCCGACAGGTAAGGGGCCAGAATGGTGACGGATTACCAAAATTGTATAAGGATTATCATCATTTTATAAGATTGGGTTTTTTCTTAATGTATTTGATCAAGATAAAATATAACCATTGTAAAGCATAATTAAGATAAATATTTAAGCATATAGTACAAATTAAAACTAAATTAAGTCAACAAAAAGTACTAAAACTGGGATATGCAATGAGTCTATAGTGCTGGGATTTCCCCGTGCGGTACCGGGTTAGAATAGGACCGCAGCCTCCCTCGGCTTGTCGTAAAAGGCGACTAACAGGGGGTGGGAGATCCTTCTCTTTATGCTCCCAACTTTCTCTGAGGCCAAGTTTGCTTCTTACCTTTGGCTTGTACCTCGAAATCTTTCATCTTTCCTTTTTACACTTTTTTTTTTTTCTCAACCCCGGTTTGGGTGTTTTCCTTTCTTCTTTTTTGACCGGCGTGCACTATTGAGCCTTGGGAGTGCCCTTTCTGTGCAAAAGGGCTGTTTTGTGCCTCGCACTGCCGATGGGACCTCTCTGGTATGTCGTCAGGAACCAGCCCCTTCGGGCCCTAGGCAGGGAGTGCGGCATGGGTGCAGAGGTCGGGCTCTGCACTGCCACGGGCGACCCCCGGTACGTCAGGATTCTCGGTACTAGGCAAACGGAGACCGGGCCCCAGGGAACTGGGGTAGGGGCTACGTCCCCGAGGGTATACCCGTTCCTGGTTATTCCGGGCCGTCCCTTGCCGCACGATGCGCTGGCAAACATTTTTATGGCTTTTTCAACCCCAGGTAGTATGGAGGGCTTGCTTGGCAAGCAGTCAGAGGAGAATGCGTTTAAGAGGGGAGGGTGTGTTTCAAGGTCACCCCCTCTGACGGTAGAAAATATATCGTTGGCACCTTCGCTGGTAAAGGGAGCGACTGTCTCCCCTCCACCGGTGCCAGCTTTCAAGTCTGGTGAAGGGCTGTTGGAGGAACACCTTACAACAACGTTGCAGTCGGAGAGCTCAGGGATGGTGCTTCTGCGTCAGAAATACCTTGACGCAGAGAGTAGCATCGAAACCTGGCTTCGAGACATGGAGGAGACCATTAAAGCTATGCTGGACACCTTTCGGACCCAGAAAGCTGTTAACCAAGTGGTCAAAAATGGCATGGCCAAGCTAGAAGATGACCTTGGATTCGTTTTTGCCTGCCGGTTGGTAAGCAAGGCGGCCATGGAGAAGATTGCGGAGAAGGTAGTGTCTATGCCCGACGACAGGGCGCTGCCTTCCAAGAAACGCAAAAGGCCATCCACTACGGAAAGCCCTCCAAAAAAGGAAGAGGCTGTTCAGACCACAAGGGCTAAGGTTAAGGCTAAGGCGACCCAGACAGACCTTTTGTCTGCCGGGCCCAGGTCTTCCCCAGATGTAGCTGCTTTCCCAACAAAGCGTCTACAACCTCTGCAACCCGTGACCCCTCTTAGGGGAAGCTCCCGTAAGGGATCAGTCGTTGAGACACCATCTGGGGCTGCATGGGAAAAGCGTCTTACCCGAAAGGAGAAGAGGCAGCAGAGGCGGGCGGAGGTCACCTCCAAGAAAAATGTGGCGGTAAAGACACAAACGACAAACGTTGCCCAAATTGGGCCCGGTTTGGCCCCCGCTCTTAAAAGGTCGCGGCCAAAAAAGCCCAGGACTGAGGCAATCTTGGTTAAGCCCTCAGGGGGGAGATCATTCGCTGAAGTCTTGGGTATAATAAAGGCTAAAGCTAAGCCGGAGCAGACCGATACGGTTGTGCGGTCGATTAGGCAAACTCGGGGCGGGGACGTCCTCCTTGAACTGGGTAAGTCAAAGGACAAATCCGCTTTTGCTGCTGAACTAAAGGCAGCCGTGGAAGGCCAGGGCACCGTCCGTGCACTCGAGCCTAAAACGTCAGTTGAGGTTCGGGACATAGGGTGCGTTCACAAAGAAAGCTGGTTACAAGCGCTTGTTGGCAAGCGCTTACAAGCTCGAACCGGCGTGAGAAAAGTTAACATAGTATCAAGCGTGTGTGTTCACAGACAAAGCTTGTGCCGGCTAGCAAGCGCTTGTTACAAGCTCTGACAAGCACGCAAGAACGTTTCGTACTTGTTTTCCGGCGCTTGTTGAGCGAACCAGTCAGTTAAAAACTACCTACTAACAGTGCAGTATGAATGTCGATGAGTTGATAGTTCAAGTATTTAGAGCTTCCAATGTCGAAAAAAATATATTACCCACATATTGTGGTTTTTCCTAGAATGTTCAATAACGTAACCAATAGGACAAATATGACATATATGTATTAATATGATAGACAAACACATTTAATTCAATATTAGTTAAGTGTTGTGTTGGATTTTTTATAGATGAAACTTGTATACTTTTACTTTATTTACCTAGAAAATTAAAACATTTGAATATATCTCACAATATTAATTGCATCATAATTAATCAGCTACATAGGGTGTTTAAAACTCCCTTCAAGTATTTTTTAGGTTTCATTATTGGTCCAATTTTCGTTTTGGTGCATGGATAGGTTGCTTAATAAGCAATAATATGCCAATCCCCCCCAAAACTTCACTAAAAACTGTCACTTTTTTGAGGATGTAATTAAACGTGATTAACTTCCGCAGTTAATTGCATGAACACCTTCCTAATTCTACATTTTCAATAAAAATAACTCTTCATCACTTGAGGAAGATATTGTCTCAACCAGAGCTGAGACTACACTGAGCTTGAAATGCAAGCTTTTGTTGTGAACACACAACAGCATTCTTAAGCGCTTGGAACAAGCGCTGAAAGTAAGTTACTTGTAACCAGCTTTCTTTGTGAACGCACCCATAGATGGTGTGTCGACAGAGAGTGAGGTGGTTGAGGCCCTAAAGGAAGCAGTCCCCGAACTTGCCGGAACATCGGCAGTTCTTAGGGTGTGGCTCACAAAACCAAATAGAAACCAGCAGCGGATGGCGGTCGCCGAAATGGCAGACGCACACGCTAGTAAGGTGTTGGCACTCCAGCATTTGAGGGTCGGTTGGGTCAACTGCAGGCTCAGACGGAGGGTGGAAGTAACCAGGTGTTTTAGGTGCCTCGGTTTCGGTCATTCCTCCCGAAATTGCAAGGGGCCCGACCGAGGCAAGCACTGCCTCCGGTGCGGAGGGGTGGGTCACGCTCGTAGGGACTGCCAAGTCGAATCTTGCTTTCTTTGTAAGGAAAATGGGCTCGCGGACAAAAACACCAAACATATAGCTGGGTCTGGGCAGTGCGGCGCTTTTAAAACTGCGCTCCAGCAAGCAAAAGCCCACCCACGAAAATAAGAATACTCCAATGTAATCTTGGGCGATCCAGGACAGCTGACGCGCTTCTCAGTCAGCTTGCCCTCGAACACGGTGTCGACGCGCTCTTGGTCAGCGAGCAGTACCAGTACCGGAATAGGGTCCCACCCTTTTGGTTCCCCGATAGTCTTGGTACTGCTGCTTTCTGGGTGCGTAATACAGCTCAAGTGCAAGTGCGGGGTCATGGAAAGGGCCGTGGATTTGTTTGGGTTCGGTGCAAGGACGTCACCTATTACAGTGTCTACCTCACCCCTAACGAGGCTATCCATGACTTCCGCGAGAAGATAGACCGCTTGGAAGAGAGCGTGCAGGACACCACAGGGCATGTGGTCGTGGCTGGTGATTTCAATGCAAGGGCCGTCGAGTGGGGACTGACCCTCACTAATTCCCGGGGGAAGTACATCCTGGACTTTGCTGCCAGGGCCGGACTGGGAACAGGAGTCGCGGGGACGCTGGACCAGGAGACTGATTCAGCAAGTCCAACCATGGGTTGACCGACGGTATGGTGAGGTGGACTATTACCTTACCCAGTTTCTGACAGGTCACGGGTTTTTTCGTTCGTACCTCTTCAGGATGGGCAAAGCCGTGTCACCCGATTGCATCTACTGCCCAGGCACTCCCGACGACGCGGAGCACACCTTCTTCCGCTGCCAGCGTTGGGAAGGTTCCCGCCTGGAGGCTGAACAACATGTAGGGCAGTTGTTGGTGGACACGGTCATTCCGATGATGACGGAGGGTGAGGACAATTGGACCTGTATGTCACATTTCGTCCAGGATATTCTCCGCACAAAGAAGCTAGAGCTTGACCGAGATGCAGTCTAGGTCATAAAGAAATTGAATGCCAGAAACGGCGTGAGCCCTGAGGGCTTAGGTCACACGTTGACCTGACCTGAAGTAATGTGACAAACAATCCCAGGTCTGTGTCCAAAAGAGTAGAGGGGGTTTTTTAGTGAGTAGTCTGACAAGCTCAGGAGTCTCACACTACAGGCTGGCTACCTGTGTGCGTAAAAGCATTTTTACCTCCTCTCCCTAAAAAAAAAAAAAAAAAAAAAATAGTGCTGGGATTCGTGTCCCTGCAGACTGGTTTTTCCCACTGTTAAGATTGCGGCCGTTTGTCAAACTACCGAGCCAGACTACAAAATGTCCGAGTATTAAGAAACAACTAGTAAACTTTTTTTAAATGTGTGACTTTTCAGTATTCACCTTTTGTCCAGAAGAAATACCTGTAATATGCCATGTTGCCCTTAAAGGTAAAATTCCTTGTATTTCAGAAACCACGCTGAGTCGATCCCTAACTAAATTATGAGTATATAAATACACTAAACAAATGTACAGTAGAACTCCAATTATCCGAACTCCAATTAACCGAATCTCCAATTATCCGAATCGCTTATTTCAACAATTTTAAAAACGTAAAGCTACAGTAATAAGTTTTGCAAAATATCAAAGAATTGTTATTAAACACATTTAGCCAATTTTGGACTTTGATGGAACACTATTGACTTAATAACATGTATAGAACACTTGTACTATGAGCATTGTAAACTGTAAAAATGTTCTGATTTAAATTATTATTAATTAAAAGTTCACTTAGTACCGAAAATGAGGATTTTTCTTTAAAATTCCCGGAATTCCGGTAAAACTCCGATTATCCGAATTTTTGATTATCGGAATAGGGTCTGGTCCCTATTGATTCGGATAATCGGAGTTCTATATTTGTTGTGGCTTAATACACAGAAATAAACTATACCATTTTTTAACTTTTAGAAAACAGTCCAAACTCACGGTTTGTGAATGTGCTGGAAATCAAGCCCGTCCTTTCCCCCCCAAAGTCAGAAATACTAACTACTAGCTTTGATTATTAATACAACTAGACATTCCATCCCATGTTAAAGTTGTTAAAGTTTATTAACCAAAATCATTGTAGTTGATGTGAACCATCGACAGATTGTGCTGATCTAAATTATTTATTCATATCAAATAATAGCCTACACGAATGTTTGCACAAAATCAAACTTATGGAAAGACTTATTTGAGCTAAGCAACTGTTATGAATCACATCAAATATGTCGGAAACAAAAAATAAGGTAGAAAATAGAATTTTGGATAACTTACTAGTGCATTCTGTTACTGGCTCACACAACTATGTCCTTTTTAATAAAAAAAAATGGCAACAGTTGGTCCATATAGATGGTATGTCTTCTTCAGTATCCAATAGTCAATGCTACTAGTCTAGCAACAGCAACACACCTGGATAACCAATGATGAAATAAAGTATAGAAGTTAAGTTTTTTAAGATGCTAATGTTAAGTTTTTTTAAGATAAAATTAGCGACTAGATATCATCAAAATTAGCGACTTTTCAGAAGAATACACTACTGAATTTTTGGAATTAAGTGCATAAACATACTTTCTGAGGGCCAGGTTAAGGGATCTATGCCCCTTTCCAACAGGTGTCATAAGGGGTCCCTTCAGACCGATTTTGTTGCGATTCATCGAGTCAATCGCTCCCTGTGGAATGCCAAACTTGCCGTCTGGTCCTCTCACCGGTGTCACATCCACGGATTCCCACTCTACTGGCACCTGCGGATAGTAGTTACCATTTGTTAGTTGAAAGCTAAAATTATTAGACTAATTTGAACGTCATTCATTGGTATTTAATAGGGATGGACGGGTCCCGAAATTTCGGGAATTTTTCGGGAAAAAAATATTCCCGATTATCGGGACGGGATTACATTTGATTCGCGAATTTTTCGGGACGGGATTTGGTCCGATCGCCGGCGATTTTGCCGCTTCGCGAGTGCCGATGACGCCGCTATTGCGAGCAATAGGTCCGCGAACGCAGGAGACGAAGTCGTTTCGACGATTGCGCCGTGACCACGGAGTCATAACGACGATCGTGCCGTGACCACGGAGTCATGCCGACGATCACGCCGTGACCGCGGAGACATACCGGCGATCGCGCCGTGACCGCGGAGTCATACCGACGATCACGCCGTGACCGCGGAGTCATACCGACGATCATGCCGTGACCGCGAGTCATACCGACGATCACCCCGTGACCGCGGAGTCATACCGACGATCCCGCCGTGACCGTGAGTCAGTCGACGATCATGCCGTTACCGCGAGTCATACCGACGATCACGCCGTGACCGCGGAGTCATACCGACGATCATGCCGTGACCGCGAGTCATACCGACGATCACGCCGTGACCGCGGAGTCATACCGACAATCACCCCGTGACCGCGGAGTCATACCGACGATCGCGCCGTGACCGTGAGTCATACCGACGATCATGCCGTGACCGCGAGTCATACCGACGATCACGCCGTGACCGCGGAGTCATGTCGACGCTCGCGCTGTGACCGCGAGTCATACCGACGATCACCCCGTGACCGCGGAGTCATACCGACGATCACCCCGTGACCGCGGAGTCATACCGACGATCGCGCCGTGACCGTGAGTCATACCGACGATCATGCCGTGACCGCGAGTCATACCGACGATCACCCCGTGACCGCGGAGTCATACCGACGATCGCGCCGTGACCGTGAGTCATACCGACAATCATGCCGTGACCGCGAGTCATACCGACGATCACCCCGTTACTGCGGTCATTTTGACGATCGCACCGTGACCGCGAGTCCTTTCGACCGCGAGTCACAAGTTTCTATAGGTACCTGAAAAATGTTTACTTATTTTTTGGTTTTTATAGATCAGTGCCACAAACGGTAAAGATTGATTTCGTATGCCTTTTTTGGTAACTGCAATACTCAAGACTTTCTTTTCATGCACAGAAAAAAATCCCGTCCCGTCCCGTCCCGAAAATTGGGAAGGAAATAAAAATCCCGTCCCGTCCCGTCCCGAACTAAAAATTCAATCCCGTCCATCCCTAGTATTTAACTATTTTTTAACATTTTTTAAAAGTGCGGTTCAAACCTTGGTTACTATCCAACCTTCACCAATCAAGTCATGGAAGGAAAGGTAAAATACCCTGACCTTTGAAGAACTACCCCTAACCAGGGGAACCTCGTGAAAAAGACGATCCTCGTAGAGTAGGGCAGGAACCAGCTGGTACCTACGCTTCTTAGAACAGGGCATGCTACCTGATAAGGCCAGGAGGAAAGTGGATACTGGTACTTTAATACTTTTGATGGAAATGGCGAGATGAAAGGAAGGTATCAGCAGCGCAGGAAAAACCGGCGCCTAGAGAGGGAAAAAGGAGGACACAAGAGATTACCCCACCCCTGAATAAGAACTGTTTGAGAATCTTAACAGGTTTCCTAACTGGACGTTGTAGGCTCAGAGGTCATCTGAGGAAAAAATGAACATCGTTCAGGAATGTAAATGCCGATTCTCCAATCAGGGAAAGAAACACCCAGACATCTATTAGCTGAATGTGATGCAGTGGAGCGAAAGAGAGCCAAGAGGTGTTCTGTAGTTAGAACCCCACCTGACGCTGAACTTCATTTTAAGGAGATAGGATTGGAGGGGGTTCTCTAGGCAAAGACTGGAGACTAGTTTGGGGGACACAATAGATCTTAAAGGGCACAGTATAATCTTCCCCCCAGGTATCATCAGTATCAATATCAGTAGGTATCCAACCTTTTGTTAGGTAGCATCATCAATAGATAGCTCTTAAAAATGACAAGTGTCACCTGGTTCCACAATAGAGGAGCAGGTTTGAACCAGCGGCCTTAAGCCTTGAAGGCTACTGAGACTCAAGACGACACTGTGTAAGAAAGTTACAAGATTTTGGTTGAAAACATCATAAAGTGATAATGTTTATGTTTATGACCTTTTAGGTAAAGGATAATTTCAATTGAAATATTAAGAGGGCTATAGTAGGCCTACTCATTTTTTGAGACTTTTGTTGGGAAAGAATACACAGAATTTCATAAAAATCAGACCAAAAGTAGTAGCTCAGCACACATTCACACATACAGACTCACACACAGACATTAATTTGAAACCTCGGGGGGATCCAAAAACGGATATTTCCACCCAAAACTCAAAACATGTTGACAAAACCAATACTTTCTCTATAGGCCTACACAATTGAATTAATAGGGGAGGAGAGTCAAAATTAAAACTTAATAATTTATCTATAACTTACAGCAAAAATAGGCTATATTGCATTTTACAATTTTGAAAATGGTGACTGGTACGTACTTTAGCGGCGGTAAATATTTTCTGGACTGCGGCCGATATTTCGGGTCCGATTCCATCACCAGGGATCAGTGTTGCCTTGCGTAACTCCCCACTGTAGCATCTTGTTAAAGGTACTCTTGATGTTACCTGTAAAACAAACAAAACAATTTGTCATAAAAAAAAAACAAACTGGATGACCTAGAAAGTTTTTTTCAAGGAGCAGAGGTTAAGAAATGTATGTCCAGCAAAATTGTTTAATTTGTCCTTCAAGGTAGATTAGGTTTTAAATGTATAATTACATTAACAAAATTACTACTGTAAAACAAAAATATTACAATATTCACAAATATATATATGTAACATTTAATAATATTTTCCTTTGCACATCAATAAAAGTCCGACAAAATTTATTACAAAGACAATTTTATACTACCCTAGAGGTAAACTTAAATGAGGCTTCTAAAAATACTGTTGTTTTCACATTTTATGTAAAACAAAAAGTGGTAATGTTCAGGTGTGTAAAGGAGCATTTATGTCAATTTTGGAGATTGGCAAAAGACGTGTGCAATGTTTATGAAAGTTCATGCAACTCTACTCTAGGAAGTCCACAAGAGAAAAGAGTAGGTGACAATAGATCTAAAAAGTATGAAAGCAGCGCAGGGCCGTATTTAGAATCGATGAGGTCCCCGGCGGCTCTTACCAGAGAAGCTCCTCATCTAAATTCTAAGTTCTAAATTTTCGAAGGTTAGAACTCAAGGGTTTAAAAATACGCGTGGTATTGTTTCAACACGATGAATTGACCTTTTGTTTCAGTTTCAAACAATCCGATCGGCAAAAAGACCTAGGAGGCTAGTTAAGTGTATTAGTTTTTTAATACAGTAATATTAGGGGTCCTAGGTCGGGGCCAGAAATTTTTCATTTCTCTTGGGTTAAGAACAAAATGTTGACCTTATGGTATCGGATCAAAATTGGGTAGTTTTGGAAAAATGTATTTAAAATGCTGTACATATATAAATTGATATTGGTACTATATTCGGTTGATACAAAATCTGTAATCACAGCCAAATTAAAAGCATCATCTGCGGTCACACATCTGCCGCGGTCGTGGAGGGATCGTGAACATCTATGTTCACAGCAAAATAGTGAACAACATGCCCGATCGTAGTGACATCATCTTCTTCTTCAGCGTTTGCGGCGAAATCATGAATGTCTCCTATGGCCATTCATAGGAGAAATAGTTCATTAATATCATACGCGAGTGCGGAGACATCATCATCGTCTTCTGCAATCGTGGTGAAATTAAGAACGTCTCATGTGGCCGCGGAGGAATAGTGAACATCTTGCGCGAGCGCAGAGACATCATCTTTGTCTCATCCGATCGCGGCGGAATCATGAACGTCTCCTGGGGCCGCTGAGAAATAGTTAACATCTTGTGGAAGTGTGGTGACATGATCTTTGTCTCCTTCGAGCACGGCGAAATCATGAATGACTCCTGTGGCTGCGGAGAAATAGTTTACATCTTGCGTGAGTGGGGAGACATAATCTTAGTCTTCTGCGATCGCGGCAAAACAGATTATCAATTAAATAAATTTACCAAGAAAAATTTTGAGGCCACCGGCAAACACCCTGTCCGCCGTTAGGAAAATACGGCCCTGAAAGCAGGAAACAAAGTGTTAAAAGAGTTTATCAGTAAGTTACCGTCTTATGAACCTCATTATAGGAGGGGTAAAAGTACTGTGCAGTACTTGTCTCTATCAGTAAGCTGTGGAGGCATTACAATGAAGAAAATCTAAAAAGTCAAATATTTTATTTTAGGGATATATTCAACTGCAGTTTTCAACCTCAGCTTCAAGAGCCCAGTTTTATGCTTACATGTATTAGTTTGAAGTCACAAGTAAAAGACGCTCTATAGAGGGAAAAGGTCTTGGTTGATGACAACATTTAGAGTACACAGTTTGAAATATCAAGCATTTTATAATTTAGCCTAACACAAAATTAAGCAGAAATGTTGATTAACATTTCATGTGACCACTAGAAGAACATGGTACCGCCTAAAGGATCAATCTGAATACTGTTCACTGCGCAGCTATACTTATACAATTTCACTATTTCTTACGGGCATTTAAAATCAGAACAGACAAAGGATAAAGTGAAAATATATTCATAGACTGAAGATCAAAGATGGAAAAGGAGGAGGATCGATATATATTATTTATTATTCACATTTATAAATAATAATTTTACATTAAATAATATTTTCCTTTACACATCGATAAATATGGTCAACATTATAAACCCAAGACCCCCCAGGCACCAAGTATTTTTACTGTTTGTAGCCTATACAATTATTAGGCCTATTTCGTAAACTGAGAATGGAGAATAAATGTGTTATTTTTTTATTCGATGAATGTAAATAGATTTAAATTTATTTAAAATGTTTCAGCACCTAGTGTAAAGTCTATAGGAAGCCTAGTAGGTTGAGGTTGTTCAAAGACTCGTAAATATTCAAATTTGAATTTGATTGATATTCATTGGCTTAGGCGTACTTATGCTGGTCTCTATAGAAAAACCCATTCATATTTATAAAATAAAGTGCCCTTTAAGGAAATAGTGCAAGATATGACTCTTGAGAAGCATTTTCAGTAGGTAACCATATTTAACTTTTCTTACTTGAGTTTCCTGCTCCCTAAAATGTTTTGGTGCTTTTGAAATGTTGTTGGTAGATTTGAATGCTCCTTTAATAGACTCGACCTATATTTGAAATGTTAATGTTAAAAATACTTGAAAAAGAATTCTTTGAACAAAATCCAACAGGAAATAAAAGTAAAATATAATATATAAGAAAAACGATGGTTAGTTATTACTACAGTATTAACCTTCTTACAGTCCATAAACGTTCATGTCTCAGTTAAAACTAGTGGCATAAATCTTAATAATCTGTTCCACAAAACATCAGTGGAAAATTATCTGTTTGTTTAACATTAGCTTACTAACAGTTGCCAGTACCACTGTGCTCTTATTTAGTTACTGATAACATTAGTTATTTAGTTACTGATCCTAACTGACAACACATTTAAAACATCATCCATATTCATTCCACGTTCACCGTGCAGTACAGGTCTTACAAGAGATACTCGTGCTACTAACATTTCTCTACTGGAAATATTGTATTAATTATTAAGTAGTGTACTCGCTACCTTCATTTAAAGTGCAAAATTACATTTTAACTATTTCTGTCACTTGTTATGATCCTTAAAGATTGTTAATTTAAATGAGATTTGAGTATCACTTTGGTATAAGTACCTAGTTAAAATTAGTCATACTACCAATTATTAGTAAAAAAAAAACATAATAAAAAGGTTAGTATGTATATAGAGGTTTCAGAGCAAAAAAACTATCAAAAAAGTAACTAGGCTATCATTTGAAATGCATGGCTTATGGATGCTCAGTAAATGTGAATTGTTGTATCATATTATAGCATGAAAAGAATTCCTTAACTTCTTAAACATTAATTAACTTTAAAATGTCCATCAAATTATATTTTTGTGCATTTTGTTAACAGTAATCAAATACCAGTACTACCAGTATTGAAATAGACATCCCATCTATATTTACCAACTGAAATCAGTTTTTTTACCCAAACAGAAGTAGGCTATAGTATATTGAGCTTCTCGTAGAGTGGGCTACTATTGGACATAAAAGTTGCTATATTCAATGTTAAGTGTCCTTTCCAGTTTGGCAGTTGAAAATTGGCTTGTAAGAAAGAAAAATGTAGGCTTTTCGACAGTAGCACAATCAGTCAGTGAGCATTGTTTTATTTCCTACAGTTACCGTAACTGACAATATTTATTTTTATATCTAGGCCTATAAAAATATTACAATACAAAAGAGAATTATAGGATTTATTGCGCAAGTTACTCCAAGATCATCTTGTAGAAATTTGTTTAAAAGAATAGGCCTAAAGATGTTACCTTTGCCCTCTTTGTATATATTCAACACTATAATCTTTGTCAAAAAACATTTTTCTTTTTATAATGAAAAAAGAACTAACTCCCAATACAGCTTTGAGCACATGAGCTCTGTGTTGCAGTACCCCATACATAAATCTGCTTCTTATGAAAATAGTACTTTTTATATGGGACTCAAACTATAAAATACAATAAACTTCCTTTAACACTGGAAGAGGTAGAATTGTTTAAAAATTTCTGGTTACACTTACTGTCTTACCTGTTAGACAATTGTTTTTACAGCACTGAGGATTTTTCATCAGTCTGGTTGTAGTAGATATAACTTGGCATTGATATAACTTATTTGTAAATTGTCAGGAGTTTTCCGTCTAGTGACCAAGCTAGGTGAGAAAGAAGCATCTAAAATAAGTGGTGGGAGGTTCAGGTTGAACTTGACGCAATACCACTTCCAATCTACATCATTCTACTTTTCACCTAACCCTAACCCTTAACTTATTGTGTGTTCACATTTTTGTACATCATAACTTAAGTTATAAGTTACCGGTAATGGATAAATCAAGATAACAAAAACAACTAAATCTATCAATAACAGTTGGTACTTAGTTTAAAGGGCTAACTTAGGTGTGTGGTCTGTAATCTAAACACACAAGAGCTGATGGTCTGGAACCATCGTCCTATTTTTTTTGTTTTACAGTAGAACCTATTTAATCCGAACCCCCGTAATCCAACCATCCACTAATACAAACGTCTCATTGCTGTACTCTATACACATTACAGTAGGCCTAGTTCTTTGTTTTTTTATATATAACTTTATTCATTAAAGTACTTACAATACATAAATACAGGAATGGTGTCAAGAATAATTTAACAAAACGTTTTGTAACTCATAGGCCTACTGTATTTGTTAAAATACCCACTGTAATTGTTTCTATTGTAATGTACAGTACTGATTATTCACTATGTTTACTGTATTAAATAAACGCTGTATTTTACAATATAAAGCATTTTTCACTTTTCCCAAAACAATTAAATACAATCCATTTCAGCCACGTTTTAGCTATTGTTATGTAAAAACAACAATACTGTTGTATGCTCTGTAATCCGAACTATTCAATAGTCCAAACTAGGTACCCCCGGTCCCAACTAGTTCGGATTAAAGAGGTTCTACTGTATTTTTGTATAAGCCTAGGCCTCTTGGCCAAGGTTAACTTATTTGTTGTGGTACTGTTTGTCACTTGTTAATTGGGAATAAGAATAGACTACTAGACTGCAATGATGGAATCTCTTAGTAGCCTTATCTAGAGAAGACCAAGTTCGATAGCAACAAAACAACGGCTCATTATTTTCTACTTAAGTTATGGTTAAACTTAGTGGTTGATTGATTCAACATCCAATCAAAACTTCTGTTGAAGCACCTGAAGACTGGATTTTAATTGATTAAAGACGTAATTTACCCATAACAAAATCTTGCATGTAGGGCAAGAGAATGAGAGATAACAAGGTTAACAGACGACGCGACGAAAATATGCCATCCTCAGGCTATAAATATAACATTCTACTGCAGTTTTAAGCACTTAAAACACAATCAATCAACTGCTATTTATTATTTATAATAAAAACTCTCAAACCAGTTAGGATTTGAATTAAAACTTACAACTTTCTTGAAGAACTGAGATGCCATGGTATGTAAGCAGGGCAAAGATTGAAATTGAAAGAGAAGAGACTAGTGTTTGGTATCGATATCCGATATATCGGAAATATCGATATTTTGGTTCCGATATATCGATATTTTTATATCGATATTAGACTTCCGATATTATCGGGATATCGATATTTTACTTCGATATTATCGTTAGAATTGATTTTAGCAATTTTTCAAAGAATAATGCAAGAATGAATACAGTTTAATCTTTTCTGAACTTGTTTAGCAGTTATTAAATATTATTAATAACAAATTTAATTGTACACACAAACTATTTCATGTACCTATCTAGTTAAAAATATATTTTTAATCTGGTTGCCTCTGCCTGCATTTGAATAGTGAGTTGGCACGGTTGGCAGAAGTGGAGTGCCAAAATGACGTGACGGCAGTGAAAACCAATCAAAACCATTAAATTCTCATTTGTTGTATATTTTTTTGTACACAAGCCTAAAAAAATATAAATTTTAAACAATTTAACGTCATATGTGTGCAGCTAACTGTTCATGGTGGTACTTTCCTGTTAAAGGGAACATTCATTATTATCGATTATTTCTTTTTGAATATCGATATTTTATTTTTCTATCCGATATATTGATTATAACAAATTAAAACATATCAGCTGACAACTTCGATAAGGATAGGCTAAATAAATATTGTTCAGTATTAACAAAGGTACTTTCCTGCTAAAGGGACATTTTTATATCAATGATTTCTTTTGATGACATATCGATATTTTTTTTACCAAACCGTCTGTATATATTCCTTTGTTTTAATATCTTCAAACGCATTTAAAAACAAATTAAGAACTAACCTTGTTTAGGCAAAAATAATAGCCTATATCTGGATTAGGAAAATAAACTATTCAACCTAACAAAACCAAAACCAGCCAAACTTACTGTAGGCTAAGTTACCGTTTCAAAATTCCGTTTGATTACAGAAAATGCATATGGGGAATAACTTAGGCTAGCAAACGAAATTTTGAAATAATACAGCAAGCTTTATTGGTTGGTTAGGATAGGTAGTTTAGAATAGTTTCATTTCAATTTTTTTTTTTTATTGTTTGTTAAGGTAATTTCCTGTTAAAGGGATGCATTGCGATAGCATTCCAATTCCATTAATTTTTAACGATATTTTTCCGATATATCGATATTTTTGGTCCGATATTATCGGAATATCGATATTGAGGCTCCGATATTATCGTCGATATAAATATCGATATTTTCTTTCGATACCCCAACACTAGAAGAGACCCCTGATTCCAAAATATTTTTCCTTGAGAGGTTATGACTGAATACGAATTTGGTACAACTGAACGTGCAGGTTAGGCAACTTGTACTTAAAACTCCTATTGAGTGAAAGATCATTATTTAAGGTAATCATACTGTATTATATCATATAAATGTGTTAAATGCTTCTACGCTGTTTATTAGTGTTATTATCTCCATCCTGAAAATTTAGGTGGTTTTAGGGGATGAAATATATCCCCTGTCCCCTCTACTTGATCCTACCTTAAAAAAAATCAACTGATAAGAGATGTGTACATTAATATATCTTTTTTGTAATTACTACATCTTGCTATAGCATCATAGCATAGTTTTATCGATGATCATAGTCAATGATAGCATCCAAGTTTCCAAGAGTTCTTAAACGGTGAACTGAACGCTGAATTTTTATTTCAGGATTAGTGTTGCCTACAGTATTATTTTGAGGCTTCTGAATGGCTGAGGGAACATCATTACCGCGACGATACGTTTGATGCCATCGGCCTCGGTGGTGTAGAGGATAGAGTGCTGGGCTGATAATCCGAAGGACCCGGGTTCGAATCCCTCTCGTAGCACTATTTTTTTGTATTGGATTTTTTTCATTATCAACAAGTTTGGTTGGTTTGGTTAGGTTATGACGGTTTAATTATATAATTAAAACATTATGAAATTGAATTTGACCCATTTATTAGCGAATTTCCCTATAGGGAAGTAGCTATTACCGTAGGTCTCGGGTCGCCGGAATTTTATCCCCCTGGAATTTTACCCCCTGGGCAAAGCTGACGTCACTATGACGTAGTAACCTGAGTGGCCAAAAGTTTGTTCGCGGCCGGAATTTTACCCCCGCGGATTTGGAAGTCTAATGAAAATAGTCAGAGCGTGATTAATTAGATTAGCGATAAAAACCGGAATTTTACCCCCTGTCCATATAACTAGCGTTTAGGCAACTGAAGATGTACGGGCCGGAATTTTACCCCCCGGAATTTTACCCCCGGAATTTTACCCCCCGGAATTTTACCCCCTGGGTGATTTTAGAAATTGAATGATTGATTTTCTTAATTCCTGTTTTTAATTAATTGTAAACATTTCATTATTTAGTAGCATATCTTTATTTATTTATTTTGAAATCTCAACTGAGTAAACAGAATTCGCTGTTTTATTTTGATCATATTAACCAACAGTTGGCTTCAAAGATCGAATCCTGACACTCGAATCTCAAAATTAATATTAAAACCCTGTTCGATTAGTTAATGTAACATATAAATTAAGATAGGCTACTTAATAATAAAATGTTTATCATTTAAAACTGAATGACGATAATTAATCATTCTCACTAATTTATATCTGGCCAGGGGGTAAAATTCCGGGGGGTAAAATTCCGGGGGTAAAATTCCGGGGGGTAAAATTCCGGGCCGTACATTCTAGGTTTTTATAATTTGATGTGTTCTGATTAAACTCACAACCGTGAAAATATATGTTTAATTCCGCGTTTAATCCATCGAGCTGATGTCGCGAAACTCAAATGTTCGCGGCCGGAATTTTACCCCCTGGTTTGTGACGTCACGTTTGCCCAGGGGGTAAAATTCCAGGGGGATAAAAATCTGCTACCCCTAGGTCTCATGGTAAGACTTAGGCCCGGGACCGATTTACTTTTTCAATTTAATGTCCCCAGAGGCCAAAAACACCATTCGTTCAAATTTTTATATATGTATATATATATATATATATATATATAGATTTATATATATATATATGTGTCCGTGAACACGATAACTTAAGTAATTTGTATCCGATTTTGATGAAATTTGGTTTGAAGGTGTAAGGCGGGATAAACTTGAACGAGTTCGCGATCCAGCATGATCGGACCATGGGAACAGGGTTTTTTGGGGGTATGGGGTAAAAATTGGTTTTTCTCACTTCTTACCCTCAAAACACAAAATTTCCCAATTTTTCTCTAAACCTTCTTAAAGAGCTTAAAAAAAAACAAACAATTCAGTATATAAAAGTGTTTTTGTACGGTTATTGGTTACGGAGAAAACTAAAAAAATGGTAAATTTAAAATTCCCATGTTATTCTTATGGAGAATATTGTAAAATGTTGTAGTTTGCTTGTTTATGGATATATTTTGATCAAACTTGGCAAATTTTTTTATTTTATAGTAAGCTATCAATATTTTACTAAAAACACACTACTTTATTAGTTTCCTTGTAGCAGCAAACCTAGGTACTCGTTAAACCTAATAATGTTATTTAAATAGATCAATTGAAAATCAATTCGACCAAATGGAAATTCGCTTAGACGGCAGGTTTGCTGCGGCGGGGGTATAGTTTTATTTTATGAACAGATTTTTTTCGGTTAAACCTTCATTTGATTTTTCATTATAAGCAAGTTTGGTTAGTTTGGTTAGGTTATGATAGTTTAATTTTAGAATAAAAAAAACTATAAAATAGGATTTGAGGCATTTATAATTTTATTTTATGAATAGAACTATTTGTTCGATTAATAAACCTTCATTAGATTTTTTCATTGTCAGCACGTTTGGTTGGTTAGGTTAGGTTATGGCGGTTTAATTTCATAATAAAAAAATATAAAATTGAATTTGAGGCATTTATAATTTTATTCTATGAACAAAAATAATTTTTCAATTACTAAACCTTCGTTATAGTCAATCAGAAGCCTCTAAATGACACTGTTGGCAAAATTAATCCTGAAAAACAAATAATTGTGCGAACTGAACTGCTGTAACCCCCTGGTTTAGTGGTGTATAAATAGCGATAGTGAGATGTAAATAATTGTTGTCTAGCAATATATTTGTATTGCCGGTGACCACATAACATATTGACTAAATATCGCCAAGGGTGTTCGTTTGCAATTGCTTGCTGCTGGTGATTTTGACTGCCCGGCAACTTCCTGATCCTAGATTGCTCGATTTCCATGGCAATCCACCAAATCGCTCTGGCGATTCGTAGGTTTTGTGCTCAGCTTTCGCAATTAATATAGCATCACACGTTTCTGGAATTATTTTTAGCGAATTTCCTTATAGGGAATTAGCTACCATTACCGTAGGTGGCACGGTAACTTACCGTCGGTAAGGCATAGGCCCAGGACCGATTTATTTTTTTCATTTTGATGTCCCCAGAGGCCAAAAACACAATTTGTTCAATTATATATATACGCCCGTAAACGCAATAACTTGAGTATTTTTTCCCCGACTTTGATGAAATTGGAGTTAAAAGTGTAAGGCGGGATGAACTTGAATGAGTTTTTTGAATGGGAACGGGGGTTTACGGGGGTTTTATATGGGGTAAAAATTGGTTTATTTTTGACCCTCAAAACAAAAAAAATCCCAATTTCTCTCGTCTATTTTTCTCGTCGTTTTTAAATATATTTAAAAAAATAATATAGTATTTCAATTAAGTCAAATATAAATTTGCTTAGTCGGCAGGTTTGCTGCGGCGGGGGTATTTTATCAACTATGTGGGGAAATTCCAGTAGAAAACTTTATATCTTCAAAATTCCTACCAATCAAGGCGTATTTTTGCGCTGATAAGCTGAATTTGGCGAGTGAATGTTTCTTGATGAAAGTCTCTACTGTAATAGTTATGTCGATTAACTTACTTCCGTAAAAGGTATGTCCGTAATCTTTGCCTTCCCTTAAACCCCATTTTCGTATCTTTTTCTTCTTTTATTTCAACAACACTGAACTAATAATTCATCAGCAAGCTACCTATTCAAGCTCAATTCTTGCCACATGATATTGCCTGACTGATTGCTGGGGGTAAAAAGTACGTTTCGGCCGGCGACAGAGATTGCCGGCAAATCTAATCGCCCATCGAAGGGCGACCAAATCGCCCAATATGGGGGCTTTATTGTAGTTTAGCAAGAAGGAGACAAACTATAATTTTAATACTGTGTGTTTTATCATTACTTAGCAATGTTTCTTGAATGCAATATTTATTGTCAAATTTAGCTCTATAAAATTATTTGATTTCAACTAACAAAATAGTCGAATGTACCTTTAGCCTTTACCAAAGTTAGGTATTTAATGTAATGAAAAAAGCTCATTCAGTCAAAATCTTTGTTAATTCCTGCATTTAAATATAAAAAAATATCCCCGCCGCAGCAAACCTGCCGACTAAGCTAATTTCCATTTGCATTAATTGATTTTCAATTAAATGTATTTAATTATCATTAGGTTTTATGAGTAGGCTTGCTGCTACAGGGGGGGAGGGGTAAAAAGGTGTGTTTTTTAGTAAAATATTAATAATTTATTTAGTATAAAATAAATAAATTTATTATGTTTAATCAAAGTATATCCATAAACTTGACATAGTACTTAATCCATAAACTACAAAATTTTACAATATTATCCATAGGAATAACATGGGAATTTTAAAATATTTTTTTTTTAACTTTCTGCGTAACCAATAATTGTACATTAACACCTTGATATATGTACCAAATTATTTGTTTGTTTAAGCTCTTTAAAAAGGTCTGTAGAGAAACTGGGAAAGTTTGTGTTTAGATGATAAAAAAACTATTTTTACCCCATAAACCCTCCGTTCCCATGGTCCGATCATGCTGGTTCGCGAACTCATTCAAGTGTATCCCGCCGTACTCCCTCGAACCAAAAATTTCATCAAAATCGGACAAAATTTACTCCAAGTTATTGTGTTTACAGAAACACATATTTATAAACCTATATATATTTGTATTTGTAAAAAAAACATGACTATGACCTAAGTGTCGAAACATGTCGTTTCTTAATTAAAATGAATTTAAAAGGGTACTTAATGTTGTTATAATGTTTCCAATTATTAATATATACTAGAGGCCGTCCAGTGGTCGAAAATCGACCAAAAATAGTTAAATGAAATGAAAAAAAAAATTAAATGAAAAATTATTTATTCAGGCAAAGTTAGGGCCACATGGTCGTTTCTTACACTATGTAATGTACAGTATTAAGCCCACACTGTAAATAAAACATGTGATAGGAATTAGTTTTGATTTTCTGTTTATATTTTGTTGTTATTTCGTCGCCATCATGGCAACCCATAACTCCCCTGTTATTTTTTTTAAGTTTTCAAATTCATTTGTTGTGCTTATTTTTGAGCCTATATTAATTTATAAAGGTATTCTGCACATCTACAGGAAAATATCTTTCCAACAGTATGCGTAGATTTTCCCTGCGATGCACACGAGCTGAGAAAAAAGGTTTTAAAGAAACATGCTTGCCTATTAATATATAGATAGATATATATACATATCAAAATTTGAACGAATGGTGTTTTTGGCCTCTGAAGACGTCAAAATGAAAAAGTAAAATGGTCTCGGGCCTAGGTCTTACCATACCAAGGGGGATATGTTTTATCTATGGTCTTACCACACCACCTACGGTAATAGCTGCTTCCCTATAGGGAAATTCGCTAAAATAAATCAACAACTACAACACATTTCACAAATAACAAAAATAAAGTGAGACACAGACGCTCAAATAAACATCCAACATCCTCCTCTATAAACTTTCCATATTTTGTGACTTTCGATTTCTGAGGTATTTCATTCAGGGTTGAGTAAACAAGTTCGTCTGTGGTCTAATGCAATTATTTCCGCTTTCAACCACTTTCAACTCTCCCTCAGTCCCTCTCCCTCATGGTCCTCAAGTCCTCGCCTAGTCGCCTCCCCACAACATTCCCTCTCTCTACTCTAGTCTCTTCTAAATTCACTTGACCTTGACGGACGAATGGCAGAGTATGAGTGACATTGACAGACCGTCAGTTCAGTTGGCGTTTGTTTCGTTCCTGTGTTTCGTTCATCGTGGTCAATTGTTGTTCCAATAGTTTGTGTTTATAGTCCAGTCAATGAATGCTCAAAAGGGGGGTGTAGAGAACATGGAGAGGGGGAAATTTTTTTAAGAGTTGTCTAGACTTTAGTAGTTCAATATTTCGTCAGTTTTAACTGGCAACTGTGTCACTCGTGCGGAAGTTACAAAACAGCTGATGTTGTCTCTCGTCGCAGTTTTTTTAGTGATCTGATCTAGAAGTCTACGTCTGTCGTCTGTCGTCTACCGCTCTACTCAGCTGTGGAGCCAGCCGGCAGCCTGCCTGATTGATTCATCCTCAACATTTTTTATTGATCATGGTGAGGTGATTGTTAAAAATGTTTATTATGTTTGAGAGATGTTAAAGTTCATCGCTAAAATAGTTGGTAAAATATTCTTTCTGGGACATTTTTAGTTTCATCCACGGATCTATCTTTTATCTCAGGTATTTTCCTCAACAGTTTCCGCATTCCTTCATTTATACCTATGGATAATTATTTATTATAGGTTAGTAAAAAAGGAATGTTTTTTAAATACTGTAAACAACATTATTTATTCAAACTTTAAACTTAGTCTGTGCAAAAATTTAGACAGAATGTAAAGATTTGTATTATTTATCAGGCCTATTAAAGATATTTACATGATTTTCCAAGCTTTGGTAAACTAAAAAAAAACTTGCCGTATCTTGAATTTTGTAGTCCTTTGCTTTAAGTTATGTAGTGGTAGGTACTGTACTTAAGAGTTAAGTCATCACAAATTTCCCTATAAATATGTTAATTTAATTTTTTGACAGATCTTACCCCTAACTTCATATGTACCCCACAGGTTTGCTAAAACCACGATTAATTAAGTTAATTACGTTTAAAATTTTGTTGGAAATAACACTGAACTGAATCTTGCTCATTAAGATGTTCTGGTTTTAATAACTTAGTATTCGGCAAATATATTATAAATCCCAAACAAACTATGCATTAGGTTAAGTATTCGAGGTAAATGGGCCCCAGGTCAAAAAAGATTTGATTGTTTTTGATAGTAGACTCGCAGGTGTCCTACAGTTGGATTTTTTAGCTAGAAGCAGGTAAGGGTGAGGCTTATCTTTGACAGTGAACTTTTTGCCAGCTCCAATGATCAGGGACAGCTGGGTCCAGTTTCGAACCATCAAAATGCTAAAACTTACTGACTTTTCTCAGGATCGAACCCACCAGCAACCTTTTGATTTAGGCGAGCACTTTAACCACTCAGCTAGGCTAACATATTCATTTAACAGAAAGTAGTTACATTGAAAAATATACTTTATACTTAGGTAGCCCTACTTATATTTTATCAAATCACTTCACTGTTAGAGATAGTTAGGTAAACTTAAGTAGGCCTACTGTAAAAATCTATACTTATTTAATACGCAAGCAGGATTTTTGTGACAATTACTCCTCTGAAACTACTGAACCGATTGACACGTTTTTGGTGTCATTGAAAAGAGCGTAACGTGAAGTTGTGCAGGAAGCTTTCTTTTTAGATAAATAATTAGAGAGTGAGGCCCTGGGGCCCTTTAAAGTTTCGTATTTCTCCATAAGATTAACATGGGAAACAAACATTGTTTTGAAACTCCAGCTGTTGTCAGAAATTAAATATTATTGGTCTCCATGGAAGCATGAGAAAATTCACAATATTTACATTTGCTTTGGCATTTAAAAGTAAACAACCAGAACTGTCAAATGCCTATTTCGCAATTTCAGACAGCTGATCCAAAAAAAATAAAACAAAATGTGGTAGGTTTATTTAATCTTAAACTTGAGGATAGATTATTTATTATGAATCTATTTAGATTATTATGAAACCGATTTTTCCCGTTGCGAAGCAAAAATTAAAAGTGAGAAGAAGAACATGTTAATTGTAAACAGTAATGTGTAAATAATTATCTATGTTGTATTAAAAATGTGTATAGTTTTGGATGATGGTTTGTGTTTAATGATATAAGTTATTAATTATTGAATTTTTATTTTAAGAATTTGGCATATGAGTATGCCTATGATAAATAACACAATTTTAGAGCTCTGACAGGTTTTGCCTAACTCTGTTCTGTAGAGTTTAAAGTAGCCTACACCTTATTGTCTACAAATTGGCTAAATAACTTAGGTACGGTACATTATAAAAGCTGACAGCTTTTTTATGTTGACTTAAATTGTAAGCTTACCTTTTCCCGTCCATGAGCAGTTTGATAGTTAAAAATAACCCTTTAAACTGGAATAGAACTGGTATGTAAATTGTGAGTATTTCCATCAGTTAATAATCTTTTAGTCGACTCTTTTAAAATCATCGGAAATTATGGCTGTTATTATTAGTTTTTAAACAAGTCATTTGTTTATAAATAACTCCTGTACTTCTTTGCAATTGCTCGATTTCGAGCAACATGTACACTAGTAAATGTAATTTACCGTAGCTTAATTCCTAATTGCAAATCAACTAAGTACCGTAATGAATAAGTTGTTATTGAATTATTGTCTCCGAATTACAAGGGGTTGCTTTGAAAATAAATAATGAATAGAGGCAATATTAAAATATTGGATCTTCTTGTAAAATTAAAACTGTCAATCATTAGCCTAGGCCTATATTAAAAGTTTGAGACACAAAATTCTTAATCTGCTGCTCTTAAAGAAGATTGTGACAGCTTCAGTTGTTTTGCCATAGGTAATATACACACGTGTCTGTTTGCACAATAAAAAATCATCCAATTTTTATGAAATTTGGTAGAAACGAGTTTGCAACTAACACAATAGGACCATGGGAACGGGATTACACATGGGGTTAAAAATTTGATTTTTACATTTTTTTTCATTTAAAACAAATATTTTTCTATTTCTTTCTGAACTATTTTGTAGGCCTAGAACTTATAATAAAAAATAATTTAGTATTTTGAAGGGTTGTTGTACACTTAATAGGCCTAATTAGGGAGGAAATTAAAGAAAACCCAAAAACTTTAAATTATAAATTTCTGTTAGTATTAAAGGAGAAAAAGGTAACTTATAAGTCAATTGTTAGTTTGTTCATTTCTGGTTTTTTATCAAACTTGACAAATGTATTTATTTTTTAGTAAGCTTCTATTAACATTTCATTATAAGTTAAATAATCTCTGTTTGGTTCCCTGTAGTCAGCAAACCCAAGTACCTACTCATAAACCTATGTTAGCCTATTTAAAAAGAGAATGAGTAAGATATTTGTGAGGACATTTTTTAATGACAATTAGTTGAATCAGACAGATGAAAATTTGCTTACTCAGCAGGTTTGCTACCGAGGAAGAATTGATAAATTTTACACTTTACCTTTTTCCCTAGGTAATAACTGATCTGAGAATGACTGAAGGTGAGCCTAGAAGGTTCCATGAAATTGAAATTCCTGTACCTTGGGGACATGTTTCAGGTAAGTTTAAAAAATATTTATAAAAAGTTAAGAGTGCAGTTCTTAGCTTACCTTTATTCCTTTGAGCCCAATAGTGAATAATTAACTTACCACAACAACCATTACTTTGTGTACTATCATACAAGCATAACTTAGTTAAGACACAAAAGACACTTAAAGCAAATTTTTGGATAAAAAAAAACATTAACTTCTAGGCCTAGAGTGATTAGTTACTTAACAACGATCACTTCAGTGACTGTTGTATTTTGCTAATCCCCATGTTTAGTCATCTAATTTGATCTTAATTGCCACCTCAACAATGCAATATATTGCACAAGGAAAGTTAGTAAGCAGGCTTGGCTGACTAACATAGTTTCTTATGGCCCTGAAGCAATTCTTTGTTTACAAATTAACTCAGTAATGGATTCAAGCAGTCAACATAGTTAATCTTCACAAAAGTGTAGTACAAAATATTTACCTGGGCAATTTAAAATAGTTAGGTGTATAACTTGTGTAAAATATTTAATATCTGTATTTGAGTGGCTTAAAAGTAACTTGCAACTTTTGTTTAGCCTTTAAACTATTCAAATATTTGAAATATGTTTGCTGTAACCTTTTTAAATATGAGAGGCTTCAAAAATGATGGTTAATTTTTAAAAATTTACCCTTACCCCTAAGTGGGGGTAGGGGTTAGCTAAAAATGTTCAAATGGGAACTATAATTCAACTTTGATATAATTTTATAGGTCTTGATGAAACTAAACAATTCAACATATAAAAATAAAAATCAGATCACTTATAAAAAAAAAGATTCATCCTAAAACAGGTAGAGATTACTGATAACAGCAATTCTGGCGATTTGGTGATTTTCTAGGCACTTTTTAATAACCACACAGTTGTTATTAGCAATTATATTATCTAGGAAAATGTTGCCTGTATACAAATTGAAAGTTAATACAGTAAAATATTCTGATAAGTTAGTAACTTTTTTTGTGATCACTACAAAGATGTTGAAGGCAGGTTATTTACTAATTTTTAGTTGCCATTTTATTATTACCTAGTGGTCAGATTTTAATTTTATTTGTGTTAATTTTTAAGCTTCATCAAGATGTGTAAAATGATTCCAAGTCACTCTATCACTGTCATTCTGTTCGTGGTCATACTACCAATTTGAACATTTTGAGATACCTCGCTACTCCCTTCTTCTACTACCTTGTAGCCCCTCATATTCGAAAGGTTGCGGATTTTTAAATATCTCAAATAGTTGAAAGTTAAAAGGGGGTGCAAGTTACTTTCAGCCACTCTGTATGCAAGATTAGGGGAAGTCGTAAGATTCACTTTGTCAAAAAGTTAAAAATCAAAAACTTCAATCTAAATTAATGGCATAACATTACAAATCCTACGTATGAAATTAAATTTGCAAATTTAATGGATTTTCCAGCTTTGTTTTGTTAATTAGATTTACTAGAAAATATTTACTTATTTCTATTGGAATAGTAATTATAAAGGGATAAGGAGGAATTTTATTTGTGATAGCGAGTTATAAAAGAAATTCATGTAGCTGATTGTAAGAGAATACCAGCTTACCTGGGAAATTTAGAAGCCATGTATTTCAGAAGATAAAAAAGCTATGTAAAAACCACACTAATATTTTGATTTAGCATAAGACTTCTTCAGAATGAAGATTTTGGAAGATTCTAATAAATGATAGAACGTAGATCCATAATGAAGTCCTTTACTTAGAAACACATACTATAGTTCGGCCGCTTAGAAAGCGACCTCCTCCAGCATTGGTTTAGCATTAGCGCGCAGGTCGTTTTCTAAGCGGCCGAACTATAGTGTCAATTTTTGTGACCTTTGTTCATAACATGTAAACCCCTGGACACTAATTTTTAGAGGCAAGCAAGATTAATTTGATCCCTTAGAAAAACTCGTAATTTAACAACCTCAATTGTACAGTAACCGATTTTAAGGTGCGCTCTACCTCAGCTCGGGCTTCAGTAGCTATGTTGTGTCATTGAACACTGCCGCGAGAAGGGCTTGCAGATGTTTAAGTCCTCTCGAGTTACTCGGTTGAATTTTAAAATTTGTTTTATCTTAAGAAGGTTTCTTACTCCTTACATTCAAATCTATGACTCTCTGGTTTTGATTTCCACCAAAAAATGTATTAGGCCTATTATGAGCAAAATGATTTAGAAAAAGCTTATTTTGTGGTATTTACCAGTCACTTCCACTTAAATTTCTACTATTAGAACAAAATTACATTCCTAAAAGCCTACAAAAATATGAAATGAATAAAGTAAGATAAATATATTTTCAATTGGTTAAGAACTAAGGTGACAGTGACGGAGATCCTTAACCCTTGCATTAGCTTGCGGCGGACAGCTACGGCGGCCCCTTAAATGTTCTATCAGTTAAATGTTTACCATCGGGACAACAATTCATTGTTATAGAGAACTATGATCTGGAAAACATAAATGTTGAGCAATAAATGTTGCGTCATTAATTACAAACTAACGTTTTGAAACAATGTGCAGGCAAATGGTGGGGTCCACGCAACAAAGACCCGATCATCGCTATCCACGGGTGGCAGGACAATGCTGGGACGTTTGACAACCTCGCTCCTCTCCTACCCGTGGAACTAGCTCTGTTGTGTATAGACTTGCCTGGCCACGGCTTCTCGTCTCACTATCCACAGGTAGGCAAATCTCTTGAGGACGATTAGAATCATGCTATGTCATCGCTTAGAGTTACATAAATTTATTAATTGATAAGCCACACTAAAAAAATAGTAAATACAGTTTATAGTCCCACAAAATCACTGTATTTTCTATAGGAGTGTTTCCAAGTTTGGAGTATGTTTGGTTATGAGGATAACGAGGATAATCAAAACTGAGACGTTGAGTACAATGCATTTTACTTTTACTCCTCATTCATACAAGATAGGCTACTACATTTACACTTTCATAGCACATGTTTAAAAATAAAAATAGGCCTAACATAAATTAAAAACAAACAAAAAATTGTTATGGTGCTGATTTACTGGCTCTGAAAATCTCTTGTAGTCTATATATATAAAACCCAATGTATGTTTGTATGTATGTTTGTTTGTATGTATGTTTGTTTGTATGTATGTTTGTTTGTATGTATGTTTGTTTGTTTGTCCTTTGGACTCTGAAACCGCTCGACAGATTGTAATGAAACTTTCAGGCTTTATTAAGCATTATTCAAGGATGGTTTGTGTGAAGTTTGGTGCAGATCAGTCTAAAGGGCTCCGCCCCAGTGGCTCTAGAGTTTCCCATGTTAACCTTATGAGTACTCATATTTAAATGGAATTAAAGAATCTTAACAGCTGGTTCAACTTATCAATTTGATTCTGTGATGCTCAATACATTAAAAAGTTAATAGGTTTACCAACAGGGCGCAGCACTATAATTTTTTTTTAATTTATGACAACAGCTAATTTCCAACCAAAAGGTGAGTGAGCATAGCGAACGAACTTCAACCTGGAGGTGAGTTAGCGTAGCGTACGAGCCAAGCTGAAGGCAAGTGAGCGCAGCGAACAAGCTCCCTCCTAAAGGTGAGTGAGCGTAGCGAACGAACTTCAACCAGGACGTGATTGAGCCATGCGAACGAGCTCATCTGGAAAATGAACGAGCTTTTGACATTATACCACATTAGGACAGGACGACATCTGTCGGGCCAGCTAGTAATATATAATAGTGGTTTGGTGTCTTCATCAGGCCACAAAGTGTAAATTCTTTGTTCATTCAGAACTTGATAACGAACGCTAGTCTAGACCATCGCCGTATACACATCCCCGCACATATGATTTTGTAACTAATGGGCCGAATGTTTGTGTTTATGTGTTTTTGTCTGTGTTTGTTTGAGTATTTTTCTGTGTTATTGTTTGACAAAAACTTATGTGTTCTAAATGAACGAAAAATTTACACTTTGTGGCCTCATGAATACTCTATTGAGAGTCGAAACCAGTAGCCTAGACAGACTACAAGAATCACTTTGACGGTAAAAGGTATTTAAACCACTATTATATATTCTTTATAAATATGATCCTGGCTAAAAAAACAGTTTATCGTAGTCAGCAAAACTGCACTGATCACCACACTCCATTCCACGCTCATTCAGCTTACGTGTTGTTGCTGTGTCAGAATCAAAGATAAATAGGTTATTTGCACAACCCAGATAATGAAACATTTGTTTCAGATAAAAACTTTTATATTGCATTCTAATTTCTTTTTCTAACCTCAATAAATTGCCTAGTTTACCATATGGTATTCCTAACTTAGTTGTTGTATAGCGTTTTCTAAACTGCTGTCAAATAGCTGTTTGAATTAGGAAAAATCTGTTTTAATGGAGTCTGAATTAATGAGGTTTTACTGTATATTCTGTTTTCTGCAACAGCTTACATTAATTTTAACGTGATAATATGCAACAGAGAACATTCCCATCTTTAGTTTTACTTTTTTATTTCTCATTTTACAGCAAAAAAAACTACACGATATAGGACCATAAACATGTGTAAGGTATAACATTTATTTAGCTCCAATTCATCTCAATTAGATATTGAACTGATAAATAAATTACATAACCATAACAATTTGACTGATCACGTCTATGAGTGTAAAAGTTCATTGTTGTAGTTGAAAAACATGTGAGCCATTATCAGCTGACCTTCGACCCAGTTACTCAATTGTCTTACGATATAAGACTTGACTAACAGAACGTGGCTAGCGACCTTGAATGATTCATCCACTCACAAAACATTTCAATTAGTGCTAGTTGTCATTTCAAGGCCTTTAACAGTTTTTGTGTGTGTTTATTATTGGAATTAGACAATAGACAATTGTTTATTGTATGAAGTGTACAGGTGTACCACTGTTGTACAATGGAAAGCAACAATGGAATAGATAAAGAAATTCACGACTTTTAATTTCATCCTTTAAAAGTTTTTGATTTTTTAATGCTGTGTTTTGAATAATAACGTTCATTTAAATACGTTTTTTGTGGGGGTAAAAACCTAGTCTTGTTATTCAGCGTCTATATTTTGATAAATAGCACCATTAATTCATTGTACAGTAACAAATGGTATCTGGGGCTGAAATCAACCCAGCTTGGGGCCGAAACCACCAAACTGCAGATTTGAAAGGAAGCACTATAACAACTTGGCTACCCAATTTAGACTGGTTTTTTATACTAGGAGGCTAGTCTCGTGATCGGATCAGAGACCTTATATTCTATAGGGCTAAGCTCAAATATCTCCAATCACCTATGACTTTTATCAATGTGATGCCATGAATCTACCTATCTAGAAAAATAGGATTGTTACCAACGATGAGAATATCTTCCTTGTGTAGGAGAACCGGCTCCACTAAAATCAACATGATGAATTTTATTACAATACACTCTCGATTAACCGAAGTTGTTGGGAACTGTACTACCTTGGTAACCGAGAATCTCCGATAACACAGTGGTCGCATAGATTGTGAGGTTAGGGGTTACGGTACCATGTTCGGATGTTAAATTCCTGTAAAATTATGTTTTAACTTCCTAGATACATAACAAATGAAAAATTATCAAATGGAATTTTCATGTATAAATAAACCTTTTTATAAATAAAGTTATGAAAGAAAAAGATAATAGAAACATGCTTAATACTTCAATTGCTATGGAATACTTTAACCAATACACTAGTACAGTATTTGAAACAAACATTAAGGATCTTTCTAGTTTAAAAAACACAACATTACATTTTGTTTGACCTGAGCGATGACTTGACACAATCATGTCTAAATCTGGTATCGACAAAGTCTGACTCTGCTATTGTTTATGTTCTGAAAGAGTTGGCGATCAACCTAGTACTGTGTGATTTTAATTTTCTTGGTTATTGTGGTTTATTCTTACCTAAAAACAATAGTTAATGGTTATTTCAAGTATTCACTTTAACGAATCACAAATTACTCGCTATTTCACTTTTCTTTAAACAGAACCATACTGTAATAAAGTAAATATTGTTTTCCTACTGAAAATAAAAATATTTCAGGCCTATATTGACCTCAGATAACTTTAGGACTCGAATAGGCAGGAGTATACTGTAGTGTATTTTTCCATCCACCCATCAGTGTATATATACCTGCTACTCCTATGCGTATGTGTTGAATACAGTAGATGCTTATGTTAACAGTTCAAATCGTCAGACCTATTGCTTACATGCACTTTTGAGTGTAACTTAATTTGGCCCTCTTATATTTTTGACAATCTCTTTTGATGCCTTATTGGAGACTTACTGATAGTTAGTTAATTTCAAGTTCACCATTTCAAGCCGATCAAGCCGAATCAAATTTTTAAACCCCTTGATTGTAAGCACTCTTATTAAACCTTGAAAGACTGACTCTTCTCTATTTCATAAGTGTAAATGAGTTTTTCTTTTCCAGGGTCAATACTACTACATTTGGTGGGACAGTTTGGTCCTGCTGCGGCGGGTGGTGCTACACTTGGGGCTGAAGCGGGTGTCATTGCTGGGTCACTCTCTGGGTGGCGCCGTCGGGTTCCTGTACGCGGCCACCTACCCGGAAACTGTCGACAAGCTGGTGTCAATAGACATTGTGTGCCCCAGGGTGGAGAGGCCAGAAATACTCGTTGATCAGACAAAAATCTGCATTGACAGGTAGATGGAAAATCTTTATTGTTTTTAATAAATATTCTTTGTTAAGTCTGCAAACAGTTGACAAACAGAGATAAAGATTAAACTTGTTATCTCAGAATGGAATGCACCCTTTGAGTTTAAAGGCAGATAGAGATTTACTGAAATATAATGCTATATGGAAATGTTATCCTTGCATTTACAGATAACGATTTTGATCCTAAAAAGTGTCTGTAAATACAGTACATATAATGTGAATTCACTGAGTATATTTTACAGATGACCAAACATTATAGTAGAATTTATTTGGTTTAATCACACCACTACCATTGACTATTGGATGCTGAAGTAGACATCCCATCTTTTTGGACCAGCTATTGCAAAATTTTTATTACAAAAGATTAAAGAACGTAGTTGTGTGAGCCAGTCACAGAATGGGCTAGTGTCTAAAATTCTATTTCATACTTTTTTTTTGTTACTGACCAGGTTGATGGGTCATAACAGTTGCTATAGCTCACCATAAGTCATTCCCAAAGTTTGACTTTGTATAAAAGTTTGTGTATTCGACAGAATTTAGTAGGTTTTAGACTAACACAATCTGTCAGTGGCTCTCATGAACTATGGCTATTTTCATAAGAAATCTGGCTACAAATTTAACATGGGGATGGAATGTCTAGTTGTATTAATAGTCATAGCCACTACACTGAAGTGAAGTACACGATTCTTTTTCTATTAAATGGATGATCATACAAGGTGAGGCAATGAGAGCACCCCAATGTTTTTCACTGTCACATAAATATTGCAACAATGAATGAACAGCTGTTTTTATAACCTGAACTAAACTATGCCATTTTAACCCTCCCAGTGTTACTTGACGAAAATTCGACAAGCAGCACACTTTGTGTAGTGTTACTTGTCGATTTTTCGACACGCAGACATCGTTTACGGCGAAGGCTCTATGACTGACTGAATCGGATTGAACTGGATCGAGTTAGGTATCGTTCTTTCCGTAATATTCTAAGCTTTCTCCAGAGGTCTGTCTCTAAGCGCTATTCATTTTAGTTCCGAAAATATTGTAGCAGACAGCTGACGTGCGTGTATTTGTAAACAGTTAGGTTCCCCCGGACCGATGACTGATGTGTTTTATTACGTTTATCATTGTTTTAGTGTTAAAAATCAAAAGTAGTGATATACGTGGTGCATTATAAGAAGATTTAAGTGGTTTTGAAGTGCTGGTTGATGATCCTGAAGAAGTAGGTAGTGATATTGATGTAAATTATCAGCCAGATTCCTAGCTATGGTTAGGCTATGCGTTCTTAGCTAAACGCTATGTACTGAAATCAGTTTTTTGCCCATTACTTATTTATTTGCAAATATACTTCCTTATATTATTATATATTTGTAATCCTCATAAAATTTAGAACAAAGTGGCTATTTTCAAATATTTATAGGCCTATAATTTATACAATTTCATTGAGCGCAAACTTTATTTTTTTTTTGAAAATTTTCGAAATTATATTTTTTTTACCTAAAAATTTTTTTTTTGAAAAAATGTTCCTTATGTTTTATATATAATATTGAAGCCCATGACTTTCCAAACAAAATGGTATATAGAACATTAGAATTAACATTGTTTTAAGCTCCTCAGATCCGTTTTAATAAAACCTTGCAAATGCGCCAAAAATAGGTGGACATTAAGGCCTAAACTATGGACACTTGGAGGGTTAAGAAACATTATGCTATGGAGTCATAAACTCTTTGTTTTTGCTGTGGAAAACTTTATTAATCAGTATGTTATTATTGCCTCACCCTGTATAAAATATTTTTTTAAAGCTGTTTGAAGAGTTTTAATGAGCACTATATTACAGTCCCAATACATAGCACTGTTTAATCATTTTGATGATATCATACATTATCTGTAGCATCATTAAAACCAGCAGCTGTTTAACATAACTGGCAATGAGATTAACACACATTTGAACTCTTATTGACATACAAAACCGAACACAAAAATCAAACATAGTGTTCAAAGAGGTCCTGTAAACATGCAAAAACGTAAACAACTTAACATTATATTTTAAAAAGATTAATTATCTAAAATGTAAACCTAAATCTATTCCTAAAGTAAGGACTCATATACTTAAATGAACGATGCATGAATACTTACAAGAATCAAAACGATGAAGGGAACTAAAATAAGGTGATTTGTTCTTAAATAGAGACGAAGAAAGCAAATAATTCATTATACAGGTATCCCTACAATGAGGTATAGCCTAAAACAAGCCTCCATAGTTAATTTTATTTTGAATACTTAAACATAGTGCTTTTGCAATCACCAAGATTAAAAAATAACCTCAATCTCTCACAGACGGAGCTGACAGTTTACCTCAGTTACTCGAATAATGGCAGATTGAGATTAGCTGAGAAAAGGATCCAGAATTTAGAGTGAGTGAAAGGTTAGATCTAAGCTCGCAAGCCACTCTGCACTGTGATTGGTTCAAAATGATGTCATCTGTATTTCGTGCAGTGTTGCCGCTTTCATTTTCAAACGAGTCACTCAACTAGTGACTACCAACTCACTTTTCAACTGTTGGATTTCAAAAATACCCCCGTCGCAGCAAACCTGCATACTAAGCGAATTTCCATTTACCCGGCTTGATTTCTACTAAAATATTCCCTATAAATTTTCAGATTTATTTCCTATTTAAATAACATTAATTTTAGTGAGTAGTTAGGTTTGCTGCTACGGGGAAGATGTTGAGGTGTGTTTTTTTGAATTGAAATATTGATAGCTTAGTATGAAATAAGCCAAATTGCCAAATTTGATTAAAATATATCCATAAACAAGCAAACTAGAACAGTTTATTTATTCTCCATAAGAATAACATGGGTTTTAAATTTAAAATTTTTTTAATTTTCTCCGTAGTCAATGAACATTAAAAAAAAACTTCAATATACTAAATTATTTGTTTTTTTAAGCTCTTCAAAATGGTCTAGAGAGAAATTTAAAGTTTTTAGGGTCAAAAATGAGAAATTTAAAGTTTTTAGGGTCAAAAATGAGAAAAACCCATTTTTACCCCATAAAACCCCCCATAAACCCCTGATCCCATGGTCCGATTATGCTGGTTCGCGAACTCGTTCGAATAAATGTAGGTTTAAAAATCATCAAAATCGGATCAATTTTGCTCGAGTTATCGCGCTAACGGACACATATATAAATATACTAGCTGTACCCGCGGGCTTTGCCCCGTTTAACTTCATATGTGAGCTCGTTCGCATGGCTCAATCACGTCCTGGTTGAAGTTCGTTCGCTACGCTCACTCACCTTTACGGTTGGAGCTCGTTCGCTGCGCTCACTTGCCTTCAGGTTAGCTCGTTCGCTACGCTAACTCGCCTCCGGGTTGAAGTTCGCTCGCTACGCTCACTCACCTTTTGGTTGCAAATTAGCTGTTGTCATTAATTTAAAAAAAATAATAGTGCTGCACTCTGTTGGTAATCCTTGTAACTTTAATGCTATTGAATATCACAGAACAGAACCAACTTGTTAAATTGAAACAGCTGTTATGATTCATTAATTCCATTTAAATATGAGTACTCATTAGGTTAACATGGGAAACTCCAGAGCCACTGGGGCGGAGCCCGAGAGTCCGATCAGAATAAAAACCACTTAGTTTTCCTATTTAATGCCTAAAGAATCAGTGTACCAAATTTCAGCCTCCTAGGTAAGTGGGAAGTGGGAGAATTAGTGATGAGTGAGTGAGTGAGTGAGTCAGTCAGTCAGTCAGTCAGTCAGTCAGTCAGTGAGGGCTTTGCCTTTTATATATTTAGATATATATATAAATATATATATATATATATAAATATATATATATATATAAATATATATATATATATGAATTTGAACGGATGGTGTTTTTGGCCTCTAGGGACCTCAAAACGAAAAAGTAAATCGGTCCCGGGTCTAGGTCTTACCATGAGACCTACGGTAATAGCTTATTCCCTATATGGGAAATTCGCTAATACCATATCCTGTGGTTGGTTGTCCAACAACCAACATGCCCCCCTCCTCAAAAATAGGGCCCCTGAACAGATCTGAAGAAGGGAAAGTCAACTGTATCTATCTAGTGTATAATTATTTTTCCTTGTTTACTATCATTGCAGATGCTACGCAAAATTGTAATATTTTCTGGCAACAGAGATATTTCTTCATTTTAAACACGATTAGGCCTACATCAGTTTAACAGTTGACTCTGTTGACAGGTATCTGAAGTACGAGAGCATGGCGGGGGAGAGCGTTCCGTGCTACGACAGGAAGACAATGCTCAATATTGTAGAAGACGCCTACCAGGGGTCTGTGTCGAGGGACAACTGTGAGGTACTCATGAGACGGGGGATGAAACCATCACCGACCGATGAGGACAAGTACTACTTCTCTAGAGACGCTAGACTCAAGGTGAGGTTTAGGGAGAGGGGTTAGGGCTACTCCAGGCTACTTTGATCTGTTGGCCTATTGTTTACATGTTGTTGTTGGCTCTCATTGACTCACACCAAGGCCCCACTAGAAAAACAGACCATGCTGCAGCCCGGGCAGCGCAACTCTACGTCACAGTGGTGGATAGTTGTACTAAACTCTTACCATTTAAATCTTACAAACAGCCAGCTTGTTTATTTACCTAAAACATATGGGAATGGCGATGGCAATGGATTTATCAATGAAATCTATCCACTAGTGTGACGTCATGGATCCTGCAGCATGGCCTGTTTTTTTTCTAGTGGGGCCTTGCTCACACCCACAGTCAAAAGCTCTTAGCAAATCCTAACAGCTTTATCGAATCTTGTATTTCTTTACTACCATTATTTGAAAAAAAAACTTGTTCTTTATTTCAGGAACTCGTTTTTATAATCAAAACGTGTTTCATCACTAGGAAGAATTCTGTTTTCCTCTCTTCTCTCCATTTTGACCAAAAATTAACCATTTTCCCTTAAGTTTAGTTTTATTTTGGTTTCATTTCCATTTTCACTCCCTTACATTTTTTAACATAATCTTAAAAATATGTTAAACAACTTTTGCAAAACTTATGACAGCTAGCCTGACCATACTTCTGGACCGAATTACAAGCAGGTTGTACCAAAAGAAATGTTATTGGTCCTATATGTGCAGGTTTTATTTTTATTTTGAGAATATTAATGTTAATTGGGTCAAAAAATGGAAATTCAACATTTCTTATGGAGATTTAACATAGGGCTAATTCTATCTATTAGTAGATAGGCATGTTTATTGAAAACCTTTTTTCTCAGCTCCTGTGCAACGCAGGGAAAATCTACGCATACTATTAGAAAGATATTTGCCTAGGGCCGTGTTAAGGGTCAGTGGAGCCCTGGGTAAACTCAAAAGCAGCGCCCCCCCTTTTTTCCTATTGGAATGCAGTAAACAGATGCAAATCCTTGACCTGGTCACTCTATTATGATTTTGGAAGCAGTGATGTAGATTTACATATACATAATATTTACATTTTTCATTTTACATCATATGGCCTTCAATGTACCCTGTATACTTCCTACAAAGAATAAAGTGCATCACATTGAATTTTATGGTGTATTGGTTATTTTGGTGTTGATTTTTGACAAGGCGAGGAGGTAGATTACGCGATGAGCTCAATAACAGTGGCTTTCTAAGTGTGGAGTTATTTCCACCCGGATCTATTGGATCTAAAGTGAAATCATATTAAAGCTGAATTTTTAATTACTGGACTAGTTTAATTTAATGATTTATTAACTGTAAATAGTTGTTAGCTTATAAACTACGCCTTACAAATTGAATTTTGTAGAAAATTGTTCAATATTTATATTTTACTTTCCTGACTGCAATACAAAATTATATACACTTATAGTTGGTATGTAAATTTGTTAATAAATATTACCAGGAATTGCAATTGACACAAATGATGACACACACACTCATACACATAGTCTTGAAATGAGCTAGAAACTAAATGTCCAACATGTGCAAGACAACCAAAAGTTTTAAAAACCCTGGTGATAGCAGGGCTTTTTCGGGTCCTGTAAATTGTCAAAATTTCTGTTTATAGAAATATCGTATGTTTTAATGATTGCCATTACTGCCTGGAACAAATGATGAAATTTTGGTACATTTTCAGAAATGTGTATTGTGTATTATGATATATACTTTGTAAGAGTAAAAATCATTGCCACTTGAGAACTGTAGATGGCCGCAATGAAGCTTTAGCTGAGTTACATTAGAAGGATTACATTTAATTTAAGATTTTCACAGGACAGGAATTGGTTCTACTGTTGCCGATTTTGCCGTGATAACAATTGACGATGATATGTTCATAATTTCACCGCTATTTCAGGAGATCATGATTTTATTTCAGCGATTATGGGAGATGTCCATGATTTCACTTTTGTGACAGGTGACAACGATGATGATGTCCCTGTGATCATATGAGATAATAAGGATGTTGCTGCGATAACATATTATAGTCATGATAACATAAACAAGTGCAATGAAGATTAAAAAACAATTTTGTTTGTCATTTTTGCCATTTGCATTTATTACCAAACATACTTACCTACCAAATTACGCAAGGAGAAAAATCCCATTCTGCCCCTAGAATAATTTGTTTTGAATCATTTGTTTTAACCTTAAATCTTATTTGCAGATTGCTGGACTGGCGCAGTTCTCCAAGGACCTGGTAAAAGCGTACGCATCCAAAATAACCTGCGAATACCTCAATATCCGAGCGGAACCCGGCATTTCGTTTGCGTACCCAGAACTCTACGATGAACTCTTAGACACTATCAAGGAGAAGTCCGCGAAATTTGAGTACCACAAGGTAAAGGGAAGTCACCATATTCATCTGGAGGACGCATCGGCCGTCGCTGATATCATTGGCAAGTTCTTCATGTCCGAACCCGTTGAAGACTTGTCAAACAACCTCAACGACTTGGTTGTTTAATGTGAAACTCGCCTAGCTTCTTTCTGATAGTATTTACCTATTGCACAGCACTACTTGTGATCTTAGATAATGTGTATATTTTTTAAATTATTTATTAGTTTTGTATTATAATGAATTTTGCTACGTTACTTATGATATAGTTTTCGGTCAAGGGTTATTCTACTATTTTACTGAGAGATTTTAAATAATTTTATATAAAAATTGAAATGTTTTTAATCTTTACAGTTTTATTTATTATGTATTGACAATTTTATTTTTAAGAAATTAGTTTTTACTTCCTCGCGTCGAAATATTATAATATTTACACTTTAATCTAGTTGTAATACAAATATCTCATGTTTGTACAATCAACTAAAGAAATTGATTTATAGCACAAAATATAATCTTAAACAAGCTTACATTATGTTTTCTAATGATGTTTAGTAGGAAAACTCTTGTAAAGTGCATTGATTACTACTTTAACATTTAATACTTCCGATACAACCTAAAAAAATAGGTTTTTTGCTTCTGAAGCATTGATGAAATGTTTGGCCTAAGCTTAAGAATTTAAATAACTTGTTTGGAAACTGATTACTACTGATATTTATCAGTAGGTTAGGGATACTATGATACTTTGAGTATGGATACTACTGATATAATTGAACTTTTACCATACTAAGTAGCCGTAGCTAATGCTAAATAGCTATTTTATGTATTACAGTTCCACCTATGGATAAAGTATCCTAAAGATTTGTCTGTGAATGTAAAACCTTAGACTATAAAGAACTAGAAATTCCAGTCTCATCTTAAATAGTTAATAGTGTTAAAATAATCATAGTCAGTTTTAGAATATAAATAATCGTAGTATAATTGACAGGCTCGCAGTTTGCATATGATGCGCTATGGGCCTGAGAAATAATGGCACCGCTCTCCACCTTGTGGGGAATTTTCCTCTTCCTTGAGCCCCCAAAAACCAAACCCTCCTGAACCCTTCAATTTGTTAAAGCGGCGCTCATTATTGAGCCCCCGACAGAGTGGGCTAATGTTAATTACTGATTATGTTGGTTCGTTAACATTTTAATTTTATCTGAGCCAAACTGAAAAAATAACTTATTGTAACATTTTGTTGTGAACTCTGATATAAAAGTGCTGCAAACATATATTTACAACTTCTTTTAGGAAAAACTTTTGTTGTAAACACTTAAAAACTGCTGAAAACATAAAAAAAACAACTTAAGATTCTAGACTTTTTTGTTACGAACAATCCTGTGTAAACACGGTTTTAGATGGCCCGATGTAAATATTTTGATTTAAAAAACCAAATGTTGGATATCCATCTATTATATTATTAAAGTGATACAATCACATTTTATGTTAATGGTTAAGGCTATTAACCAAATAAAATTATAGGCATATGGCACATCAAAATGAAGCTCATAGTGTGAAAAAATTCTCTTAGGGCTCTGCTCCACAGACCAATTTCCAAATGCCTTACACATTTTAGAAGTTAACGTTATTCGACTAATTTATAGAAAACAGCTGGTCAATGAAATCAACAATAGTTTGTTGATTTACATTTTTGTTTACATATATTATTATTTACTTTTATGTTCAAAGAGGTGCGGTGAATGAACACTGATGCTGTTTCTAGCTGTTTGATTCAAGCTTTGACTCAATAGTCAATGATACAACTGAGTGCTTTAAGGTGTTTGAAAGACGATGCATATGAGATTAAAAAACATGTCTGTTGGTCACCGATCTTTAAACAGGTTGTATAATAAGAAGAATATTAGTAATGGAGTAAGATTAGCTAATAAGAATCTGTAACAGGACGTCGTGAAAGAGAGCAGCGAGTTCATGTCGTTCAGGTACAGAAGTTCCGCGCGCACAGAAGTTTTGGCCAAACTGTACCCACGGCGGCCACCTCAGGACGTAAGGTATGAAGGTCCCACTGCTTTTAACATTCCTTCTGATGAGAATTCCTTGAACTTGGGCCCTTTAAATGAAATATAAAGTCCAAATTAATTTAATTGTGGCTTCTGAATTGTACACCCGTGAATTTACGGGTAGAACCTCTTGTAACTTCTTAATTCTGTTGTCTTTCAGCTGAACTTTGATTATTGGAACCATTTGGTTTTGGTTTTTAAAGAACCACATAATTTATTAAATACTATCATAGCCTCTAATACAAGGGAGGCTGCCGTGAGACGAGAGTGGCAAAACCGCAGACCTAGCATTCGGAAACAGCTTTTGCACTATTTAGAATGGAGGTATAGGAAATGTTTTATTTGCATTTTTGTTATTGCCCTTTAAAAGGAGGCTATGATATTATGCATTATACCGAGACGTTTAAATTTAAGACCTTTATATATTTTATAATAGTGGAACCTTGATAAGAAGACCCTGGATAACAAGTTGCCCTTGATAACAAGACAGTGTCATTTACAAATCCCCTTAAAATTATTTACCCCTAATCACATGTTATTACAAACCTCGATAAGAAGTCAACCTTGATAACAAGTCTTATTTTACAATCCCCATGAGAGTCTTGTTATCAAGGTTCTGGTAATTAGTTTTAGGTTTACTTAACATTTAATAAGTAAAATGTGTTTGTAGAAGGTAGGATAGAAAGTGCATGTTTTGCTATCTGAAATTTTATTAGTATTATTAATTGGTTGACCTAAATATTTTTTTTTTAGAAATTATAACGATCAAAATTGTCGTAGTAAATTATAGTTGTTAAGACAATAAAATAAACAAAGTGAAATATGAAGTTACAAACATAAAAAATATAACGCCTTACATGTGGAACTTCTATTTTGTAGAAATAACTTGAAAAATAGTGTGATTTTAATTAAAAGGTGCCTTAAAACTTAACAAAATGGTGACTTAAATTCTTAAATTAATTATTTCACTGTTGCTCAAGAATGTTTTTCCTAAGCAGTAGGTCTGTTGCATATTAAATAAATACAAAAAAGTTTGAAGTATATAGAAATCCAAATTTTTGAAGAAAACAATATTAATATATTTTTATTTGAATAATGGTTTTAACTTGAGCTTATGGAATCCAAACAAACAAGAAAAAGTTATTTTCCTTTCATTTGTTGAGATTAAATAAAAGTTTCTATCACAATTAATTGTCTTGGTAAAAATGTAGGAATTGGCTGAGGTATGTGGAACTAAAGAAGTCCATTAAATAAGTTGTATTTGCATGCTGTAATTTTCTAGTTCTAAAATTTATATTATTCATGACAATTAAAGTAGGAGGAGAGTCAGCCTTATCACATCAAAATGTTCATTCCATAATGTATCCAAATGTTATTTTAATATTTTTTTGGAAAGCTCGAGATTAGTGTTGAGCTTAACAATTCTGAAGGCATTTTTGAGCTTGGAAAATATGGTATTTTTTACATTGATTTTGAGATAATTGTTAGTAATAGTGTTTTTCTATAAAGGATAGTACTTAATAATCTTGTCCACCATGTGTGATACTAGGCATCATATATTACTTATAGAACCTCTAATTAATTACTCTCGCATAAGGGTTCCTGCACTAGAGCTTATCTATCCGAATAATGTGATCAATAAAATATTTTGTTGGTTGTTGATGTCTGCAGATATTATTTTAGCCTTTGAGTATCCATATATTCTACTCGTAAAACTTGGATTTTGTGTCTTCAATGACATGGCCTATGAGCCCATAGAGAGTCATTGATTTAATTACACATATTTTTATCTTAATTTTCCATGGCCTTATGGACACAAAAAGGCTATTGTTTTAAAATCAAATTTGGATGCACACACATTAAGGATGGATTAGAAGGAAAAAAGTGCTTCTTTTGAAGAGGTTTCATAGAGATTTTGGCCATCCTGCTAATATACAATTGCGACAAGAGGTCCTCCGTTTACTTTAGGCGGACATTTCCCATCAGAGTCTGCCATACCATAATGAGCTCACCTGTCAATGACCTGACTGAGACAGTTTTAACCCTTATTCTGTGCTGCCTCCTGGACAGATAGATAACAAATTAACTTGACCATTGATAAGAGCACTGGTCAGCCAAAAGCCCAAGCTCACTCCAAAATAATTAAATTTTGATAAACTTTTGTGGCAAACCCACAATAAAAACTCTAGATTGTAGAATAATCAAATTACCATTTAGCTGAAAGTATACTTTTAAAAATTAAGACGTGGGTTTATTTAAGACAATATTCATGTAATTTCGGTACCTATAAGAAATTAAAAAAATAAAGCTAAAAAGGCATACTGAAAAGTACATCAGCAATAAAATTTATGTAAATCTGCAATTTATAATAATTTAACGTTCAAAGGTAAGAGAGTAAAACAAGTAAACCATTTTGTTTGGAACAATCTTGAGTAGGTATAAATATGTTTAACACGCTGTGTTTTCAAGCAAGTGCTGCTTTGACGGAAGGTATACAAACTAATACGAGAATGTACCCGAGCAGTGTGTTGTTTGTTTTGATCATAATGATTGAACGTGCTACCGTTGTGGTTTTCTCTTAAAGTACAGTTTCTATTTTTTTAACTGCGAACGTTAAGTTTTTAAACACACCAAACGTTTGATAAATTCTAAGTTATTATCGGTATGTTAAGGCCGGCACATAATGTGCAGTCAACCTAAATATGAGTGTAGATTGGAGTATGCCTTTTTTGCTTTTGTTGATTAGACAAACTCATGTGTTGTTAACGTTTTGAGTTTAAACCCTTTCTATAAAGCCATTTACACTGAAGTTTAAAACATGTTTATTAAATTTAAGTTTACAACAATCAATACGCTAGTTTTGTTTAAATTCTTTCAACGAGTTTTACAACAATTAAAGGTTGTTTTCTACGAGGAGATGTAATAGTTATTTGTGCAACTAGTGAGAAAAGTGAGCAATTGACTCACTCGAGAGAATTTACTCACGAGCCGTAGGCGAGTGAGGAATGGTTTCTCGAGTGAGGCAATTGTACTTTGAACTCGAGTTGCACATTATACTTTTCCTACAGTTACCATAAAACAAATAAATTGGTGAAGAAACATAACCTATTTTTACACAGAAGTGAACTTTTGATATATCATTAAATGTGAAGTGACAAATACAACAGTACAACAGCTGACCAGCTGATTTACAGCCAGTGCTGCCAACGTATTTCGCGCGCATACGACGTTGCCTGCATGTTACGCGCTCACTATTTCGTGCCTTCACGTTGCAAATCTGGAGTGAGACAAAGTAATTAGAGTCTCACTGTTGAGCGAATTGGCCACTTTGCTTTCTGAAATCAGTGAGAGAACATGTACATTGTTAGGTAACTGTAGGAAAATAAATTTTCATCATTCTGTCCGGAATTCACCCATTTTAAAATTGAAACGTTTTTATTAGCTCGCTTTCTTGTCCGGTACAAATTTTGCAATCAATTTTATACTAACTTCCCGATGAGCTAGAGGCTTGAAACTTGAAAAATAGCTCACAAATGGAAAACAATGCAATATTAAATAATTTAATTTTAATATTTCCCTTGGGCTACGCCCCATGGGCTTGTTTTTATTAGCTAGCTTTCCTGCAAATTTTGATATCAGTTTTAAACTAAGTTCCCGATGAGCTAGAGACTTGAAATTTGAAACATAGCTCACAAATGGATGACAATGCAATCTTATATCATTCAATTTTCATATTTCCCTTGGGCTACGCCCCATGGGATTCCAAATTTCACATGTTTACATTTTGAAAGAATGTAAATACATAAATTAATTTAAGTCAGCTGTAAATACTTAAATTTGACAGTTCGAAGAGCAGATTTAAGAGGTACAGGAGAGAGATTCTTTATACAAACTTAGACTGGGACGGGTGGCGTCGTCCTGTAATCCAGCTACTAGGAGGTCACGGATTGTGGATATTTATAGGTATGCACTGTGGATGGGATAATCCCTGGTGTGGATTAACGTCCGCACTAGTGAGTATTACGACTATCCGCAGTACTATCCTGATAATTAGACCAATTCGTATATACCAAGGAAAAATGTGGTTCGGATTCCACTATAAACTGTAGGTCCCTTAGTTGCCATTAGCTGTTTGGGCTATTAATTAACAGCTGTGTCTAAGGAATGTCGGCCTTAGTCACTAACAAGACTACAAGATCGCGCCACTCATCCTACACTCATCTCCATTCATACTTGGCTTAAAATACCTACATTGTATGGTCGCCATTTCATAAGAAAGTATAAAGTATAAAGTATTTCAAAATAAAGATAAACAATCTGATTGCATATATGGTATAAAGGTGTTTGTTAATAATATCAATTGTTATTTATTTAGTATTCTATAACCTAAACAATAAATTGAATAGATTAATATATTTATAGTTAACAGGTAGGCCATACATTCAATCTTATACATAATTATATGAAAAGAAACTCAAATAAACCTTAGATTTTCCACATGTCTCTGTCTTAATCTGATATAGATGCTTGAAATAGATTTAAGATCCACTCATTAAAAACTAGAAAATAGAAAATAATTTATAAATAAAAAACTTTTTTAAAACAAAACGTTTTTAAACGCACTAAAAATAGAAAATAATTTATAAATATGTGGAGAGTATAAATACTTGTTAGATTTAAAAAGAAAAACGTGGGGTGCATGCAATTTATAATAATACATTAGTTCAATAGGTGAAGGTAATTGTAAATTATCTATTGCATGCACCCCACGTTTTTGTTAGAAATCTAACAAGTATTTATACTCTCCACATATTTAAAAATTGTTTTCTACTTTTTAGTGCGTTTAAAAACGTTTTGTTTTAAAAAAGTTTTTTATTTATAAATTTTTAGTTCTCTAAATCCTCCTCAAAATCATCGTTTTCGGGTAACTTCAAATATAGAAAAACACATGGCAAATCTTTTGGTTCGCTAACCTCAAAATAGGTTTACGGCACAAATGTTGTTTACTATTTTAAACACATAAATCAAAAAGATATTACAACATGGAAGGTGTTCCTGGGTTTGTGTTGTAAGAGTCGAGGAAGGATTGTTTCCAAATAAGTCGAGAGGTAAGAAGAGTAATTTTATTAGTACATTATGAAAACGCTGCTAATCACACGATGCTTTAAGTTACGTTTTAAAACGGAAGATATGTAAACATCAATGACGACTTTGTATAACCTCAAATTATGTGGTCTAATTTTTAACCATTACGAAGGCCATGATGAAAATAGTTGTTCATCTCACGGAGCGAAACTGTTTTTTGTTCTTAATCGTATTTCCAAGTTCGGATGGGCCTCGTTTGAAAAGCACGGTTGAGACCAAAATAGCCACTTTCGCTTCTAGTTATGAAATAAGTTACTATAATATTATAATATTAAATACTAGCTGAGTACCCGTCCTTCGTACGGGGTTGGAATATAAGTATAAAATGCTTATTGCAGTTATACTCAAGCTTTGCGATTGCAATGGGTGGAGGACACAGTTTGATAAAATTTGCTTTTTTAAATTTACAGTATTCTATAGTATTACACATCTACCATAGCCATAATGTTCTACCATTTTACCTAAACAATAGAGAAAAATAAATTATCAATTCGCAAAATATCACAAATTATTCATGAAATGAAAAACATATACATAACTGTAAACAATCCTACTTTGACAGTTCTCATTGCGAATCACAGTTTTTTGTTGCTGCTTAGTTCAAATTAGCTGTTTTCATAAATGTAAAAAAAATATAGTGCTGCACCCTGTTGGTAAATCGTATAACTTTTTAATGCTTTTCCATATCATAGAACCAACTTTTTTAGTTGAAACAGCTGACTAAATTCTTTAATTCCCTTTAAATATGAATACTCATAAGGTTAACATGGGGAATTACAGAGCCACTGGGGCGGGGCCCGAAAGGATTTTTGAGATAAGAATATGCCTATATGTTAATCGGGAATGTAAGCTATCATCGTGCCAAATTTCAGCCCAATCCGTCCAGTGGTTTATGCGTGATTGAACTTCAAACAAACAAACAAACAAACAAACACACAAACTTTCACATTTATAATATTAGTAAGATATATGAATTTGAAAAGAGGGTGTTTTTGGTCTCTATGCGAAATTCGCTAAAAATAACTTTAACACTAGCACTTTCTAAAAGATGTTTTACGTTCTCTGTAGGGAACGTTCCAAACCCTCGGCGTGTTAATATCCAAATCGAACCTTCTGTGAGAGAACATCATTCATTGGTAGCCCAATGACTATTGGAATCTGGGCCAAGAATCCATTTAGAATTGAACCAGCAGACTTCAAATGACAAGGTGAGGACTAATACCACTGCCTGGGTAGTGGTACCAGTCAATAATAAGATATCAATAATAGTGTTGCTATAACTTATACATATCATTATTATCTTACTCTATAAAAGGTTCAATAGACTATTTTTGTAAAAATATGTTTTCCACTTCAATTTCAATACTTAAAACAAAATATACTCTCTTCCTACTTAAAAGCGCTACCATTCCTAAGTAAACATTTTTACTTTCTCCCCCTATACCATAGTGTATGGAGAAAGTATGTTTTCGTTAAAGTGTTTGAGTTTTGAGTGGATATACCCCCTGGACCCTAAA